GAAGTAGGAGGTGGGCACTGGGCAGGTGAAGGACGACAAACCCACAGCAATACTGGTCCCCGCTGGGCACGAGGAATCTACATCACTGTCCTCTGGGATGGTGGGGATTTTTACCACTGTATGATGACTCCCTGAATTTATGCCAAACTCACAAATCTTTGCTCTAAACACACAAGAAAAATGGGCAAACTAAAACAACAGAAAGCAAAAAAGAGTAAAATAGAATATAAAAATCTCCTTGGACCAGAAATCAAAATGACATCATCTGGTGACTCTGGGGTGGGGTGAAATGTCCCCAGTGTCCTTCTGGGCATTAATTACCAGGTGCGATCATATAACTGGATTTAGATTGAGGTCCTGGAGCTCCTAAGAGAGGCAACCACAGACCATCAGAGAGGGTGGAAGAGGGAAGAAAAGAAACAAAAACACAAATTTGCGTACCAAAACTCCAAAACACGAGAAACTCTATGCTAAGAAAGCCCAAAAAATCAACAAAATCAGAACAGGAATTCATTCCAGAACAGACTGAAAGGGGTAAAATAATAAAATAGGTTGGAATGTTTAAAGTGATAAGTGGGAGTTATACTTCCATTAAAAAAGAGCTGTAGGGGCCGGCCCGGTGGCACAGTGGTTAAGTTCTCATGTTCCACTTCTTGGAGGCCTGGGGTTAGCCAGTTTGGATCCTGGGTGCGGACATGGCACTGCTTGGCATGCCATGCTGTGGTAAGCATCCCACATATGAAGTAGAGGAAGATGGGCACGGATGTTAGCTCAGGGCCAGTCTTCCTCAGCAAAAAGAGAAGGACTGGCAGTAGTTAGCTCAGGGCTAGTCTTCCTCAAAAAAAAAAAAAAAAAAAAAATAGCTGTAAATCATTTAATAGAAATAAGACTGAAATAAAATCAGATGGACATAAAGAATAAACTAGAAATCTTAGAAATGAAAAATACAGTTTTAAAATGCAATATATAAAAATTTTAAAATATACTTTAAAATGCAATAAACAGAGTAAGCTGGATATAGTGAAAGGGTAAATGAGTTGGAAGGCAACACTGAGGAAATCACCTAAAATTCAACACACACACCCCTCGACTTACATGTTTAATAGCATCTCAAGTATTTGTGTGTGTGTGTGTGTGTGTGTGTGTGTGTGAGGATTGGCCCTGAGCTAACATCTGTTGCCATTTTCCTCTTTTTGCTTAAGGAACATTGTTGTTGAGCTAACATCTGTGCCAACCTTCCTCTATTTTGTATGTGGGACACTGCCACAGGATGGCTTGATGAGTGGTGTGTAGGTCTGTGCCCAGGATGCGAACCCGTGGACCCCAGGCTGCTGAAGCAGAGTGCACGAACTGAACTTAACCACTACGCCACTAGGCTGGCCCCCATCTCAAGTAATTTTAAGCAAAGGAACTCCATCCATCCTCAAATCACATCTCTACTAGGAGAAATCACACAGGTCAGAGCAGAGCCACACGGCTGAAGTGGAGGTGCAGGGCCTAATCTGTCATTAAACGAGCATTAGGGTATAGCTTGGTGACTTTCCTTCTATTGCTTTCTTGGACAACTGCTACAATCTTGCATTTTTTAAAACACATATTACCTCAACTAAATAATGAGCATGTTGAAGACAGAAGGGGCTTTATTCTCCTACCCAAGCCCTCAACAAATACTTGATTTAGTTATGCTTTAATAATTACAGTAATGTGTCACTTGACGGGGATACATTCTGAGAAATGTGTCGTCAGGCGATTTTGTCATTGTGCGATCACAGACTGCACTTACACAAACCTCGATGGTACAGCTTACTCCACCTAGGCTCCATGGTGCTAATCTTACGGGGCCACCGTCATATATGCCGTATGTCACTGACTAAAATGTCATTATGCAGTGCATGACTATATAAGGAAATTCAGTTCAATCACACTAGGCAGAACCTAAGAAATAAGGTTTCTACTTTATATTGTGCATAGTTCCATTATTATAGAAACATTGGTTCGAAGGAGTATAAACTTTTTTTTTTAAAGTTCTTGTTCTACTCTCATTAAAACAGTATTTCTCTAAGGTCAACTCCATCATTCTTTTGTTATGGAACCAGAACTGTATTTAATGCTGAGGTAGAGCCAACTCAAGAAGAAAAGGTATGAAAAAAATCCAAATTAGGTAGAATTTTAAAAACTACGTTTAAGAGCAGTAATAACTGAAATGGTAAAAACATTGCTCAATACTACTAGAGCCTAGTTAAAGAAAAAAGTTCTTTGGCCATCTAATCAAGAATAATGCACCCTTCACCCCAAAGAAAGCATTAAGAGAAAGTGGTCACTTAGCGAGATGCACACACACGCTAAATAAGACACATAGCTTTACATACAAGAAATTTTTTTAAATCTAGGAAAACTGAATGATTTCCCAAGGAAATATAAATTTAATTTAAAAACTAGGGAACATGAACAGGCTATAACTAAAGAAGAAACTGTAAAGGCAGTAAAAAACACTTGAAGATATGCACATGCACATAGTTTTATAGGAGTTTATCAAACCTTCAATGAACAGATGATTCTCACATTATATAAACTGTTCCACAAGGGAGGAAAACCTGAAAAGCAACTCATTTTACAAAGCTATCCTAAGGGTCTCTAAAACTAGACATAAATAGCATAAGAAAACTAAGTCAATCTCATTTATGGGTAGGTAATAAATCATAAACAAATTAGCAAATCAGTGTTGAAAGAACATTCATAAATAGGTTTTATACCAGTTATTGAAGGGTAATTTAACATTAGAAAATATATTAACATCATTCACTCCATTAAAATTAACAGATAATAAAAACTATTATTATTTTCTAAATCCTCAGAAACTCATTGGATAAATTCAAAATCTATTCCTAGGGGTGGCAGGGAGGAAGAGATTTTTTAGGAAACTAAGAAAAAAGGAAATTTCCTTAATTTGATAAAGGTCATCTATAGAAAGCTCAGCAGCCATCATACTTATTTACCATGACAGTCAGGAAAGAAACAAGGATGCCTACAACTGTTCTTAGCTAATGAAATAAGATAAAGAAAGCTGTTATTAAAAATTAGAAAAATGCACTTGCAGGTAATATGATCAATCATCTAAAAAATCCCAGACTTAAGTAACAATTTTTTTGACTAATTGAACTCTGCAAAGTAGCTAAACAAAAGTTAAGTGCTTATTATTGATGAAGAACAAAGTATTTAAAGAAATGTAATAGGAATTTTAGAAAAACAATTCATAAGTAGTTTCTAAAAATATAGAAATAGACCTTAAAAAGTATACAATACCTAAACGAAAAAACCCATTTTACTAAAAGATGTAAAAATTCTGAATAAATGGAGACAGTGTTCTGGATAGAAAGATTTCCTATTTTTAAATCCTTCCCACACATTAGTCTAGAAAATCAATCCAACATTGATCAAAATCCCAAGGGGACTTTTCTGGTACTTTGATAAGGTGATTCTCATGTTATTAAGCAAAAAAATATCTGTAAGAATTTTTTAAAAATTGAAAAAAGAACAAAATGGGCAACTGACCTGTCATATATCATAATAAGAAATTATACTAATCACAAGTTTTCAGTGAGAGAAAAATCATGGAAGACTCCCAGGTGCCACTTAATGAGACAGAACACTGGAGGAGGTGGGATGGGAGCAGGTGTGGTGGAAGAGGGTGACTTTGTTAAGGTACACTGATTGTGAGAAGCCCATTAGACCTCCACATGGAGATGTGGACAGACAGCTGGATGTGTGAGCTTAGGGGAGAGGTCTGGGCTGCAGAGAGTGACATTTAAAACCGTGGGATGCATGGAGCTTTTACTAGATGTTTGGTTTCCTTCATGGGAAATTATATAGTTTGAGTTTGCAAGTAAATTTCAGAAGTTCACCCATCCCATCTGCATTTGTTTTCTGAGGAAACAGGCAGAGGTATATTTGGATCAATTTAGTAGAGGATTAGAAAAATTAATCTCTGTACTTCTTTTATTATTCCTGTAATAATTTCTTCATTATTTTAAAGTACTTTTCATTTTAATGGCATTTCTCTTTAAAATCACTAATAAACTTTATCTCCTACAAGGAGGCAAAGCCTCTGACATTCGAAATCCCCTCTCCATTGTCAGATGGCTCCTTCATTCCCCCTGAACACACCACAAATCCCGCCTTGGTCCTGAGTTTACAAAGGCTGTGCCCCGAACTGGCTTCACAACTACCCTGACCGCTACTCCATCTCTAACGACTTGAGAGCTCCATGAAGTCTGTTCCAGCCCATGATCTCTCCTCCCTACCCCCAAAACATACTCACGTGGTCTTAATCATACACTCTCTTGTGCTTTAAACATTTCTAATCTATTCCTCAAACTATAGGAACCCACTAAGAAATGTGAATGAATTTCCACTTACGAACACCAAAATAATGCACTATTTCTAATTACATACTTTGCTTTTTACCTAAAAAGTACATGATCCAACTTAAAATCCACAAATCAGTTGCAACCAAATCTAAATTAAGAGAACTCCATTGTCAACCTAGAGATCAAACCAGTAATACTGGGAGACAAGATGCGGTCAAGCTGTGAAGAGAGCCAAGGCACACAGGACAATGATGGTCCATCAGGACTGATGACACAGCCCCCCCGACAGGTCACACAAGTCCTATCCAAGGCAGCACCTTCTTCACTATGAGGCCTGGCTGCAGGATTTAGGGATACTGCCCCAGGAAGGGGCGGCCAATGCTGGGGGGAAAACTGTACCTTATCTTCACTTACCTCCTATAATTGTCCCCATTGAGTAAGGAGTAGAAAATTGGTTTATGGTAACTCATCATATATGTGACCCCAAGCAACAAGGGGAGAGTGAGAACTCCATGTGTAAACATGCAAAAACACACATGCACACGTGAGCATACACACTCCAGACAATATGGCCAAGCATGCTATACAAAATTGTATGTATAATGTGAAACAATCTGAGTTAGGAAACTGGGATTGTTGCCACCACCATTTATTTATCTAGTTCATAACTAAATATAGAATACTATAGGAGTGGTAGAATGCAAAGAAGTCCCTGCCCTTAAGGGGCTTACAATCTTATTAGGGAAATAGGACAGGCACATAGTAAGCTGGACTCTAAGAAAGCATATGCTAAGAAATGCCCTAAGAATTCAGAAGGCAGAGTAGTTTAAGAACATAGGATTAGGAGTCACAAAACTCAGTTCCACTCCCGGCCTGGTAAGTCAGGGGACTTCTCTGGGTTTATCACCCCAGCTGCAAAATGGAGTAGTGAGATTTAGAGGCCGTCTGCATCGTGACTGATCAAAAGCGGAGGCAGTTTTATGGAGGAGGTGGCACTTGAGCTGGACACTGAAGGAAGACAGAGAAGGCATTTCAGACAAGGAAAGCGGTACTGAGGTAGCCGTGAGCGTGGGGTCTGGAGGGGAGAAGAAAGGGAAGGGTCACATGGAGCAATGGGAGTGAGGTAAACGGGCGGCTGTGGAGGCCTCAGGCACTACCACAGAGGAATGAGTATGTTCCTCACATTTACATCAGTCAGTTACAGTACATAATTCCAGAGAGTAGAAAATACCAGAGAACAATGGCAGCATTTTATCAAACATTTCACTCAATTTCCAGAAAATATAAAACAATTAACGTTATACCTCTACATTTAAAATTGACATCAAGAAACTGTCCCAACTGTCAAAATGTAAACCAATTCAAAGTTTACCTTCTTAGTAAACATATCTAAATCTCTTAATTCAAAAGGGCATTTGATACAAATTATATTATCCCAATAATTCCAACATTTATTTTCTACTATGTTCCACGCACTGTGGAAATAAAAATGAGTAAGACAAGGTCCCCGCCCTTGAAGAGCCCGAAGCCTGGCAGATGAGACAAACATCAACCGTGCCCACCCAGAATGTGCTAAGACGCACGGCGTGATCAAGATATGAACACATGGCTATGGAGTAAAAACGATCGAGCCATCCCTTCCGAAGGAGTTTCAGCAAGGGCTCAGGGGAGAGAGGTCAAGGGCTCAAGGAGAAATGAGTTTGGCAAGGAGAAAGCATCTGCGGGGAGGTCAAAGCTTCTAGGCCGAGGGCACACGGCTACACACAGGGAGAGTGTAGGCGCATGGTGTGGCCAGGGCCTAGCACAGGCGCAGAGTGTACACGGCAACAGCTAGTGACATGGAAGCCCAGGCTTAGTCCTATAAAAATGGGGAGCCACTGTCTGTTATGTTTTAATCAACACTAACCCTGGCTTGTAAGGTCAGGAAGAGACAGGAAAGAAAGTGAGCAATGAGGTTCTGTCTGTGTCATGAGCAGTCTAAGTCCTTCTCAGCAAATTACACTGTTCAGGAAAACTCCACACCCCCCATCACCTCCTTTCCTCATCCTCTCTTCTTTCCCTTTATCATCTGGCGAGTCTTCAAAATGAGGCTGGAACTGGAAAAGCATAAAACAAACAAAGAGGCCTAGAAATGTGCATATATGGCTAATTAAGTGACCAGAGGTAATGGTACTTGTATTGTACAGAGGTCTACAGATGAAGAAAACTAATTTTTTCAGAAGATTTCTAAAAGTGCCTAATTCACACCAAAGAGTTGGAAAATCTCATTCAACATGGGAAAAGTATATAGAACCCTTGTAGAAGACTCCATTTCCAACTATTTTCCATCAAACATCAGTGTTACAAACATGGTACCACAGGATTTCAAAGCCTATCCTCACACAATTAAGATCTGACCCAAACTGGATTGTTTGACTTAAAAAATAAAAAGATACAATGCGTAATTCCAAGTCTTAGGTTCTCAGCTACTACCAAAATATGTCAGTACATGAATAAACTGCCTAGTGAAGAACATGCAGTAAAATGGAGACGCAAACAAGCCATCCCTTTAGGGTAGGTACTAAATTCCAACTTCTCATAAGAATATTATAGAACCAATTCCACAAAAGTAACACCTTTTTAAAATTACATTTTATAATGAAGAAAATAAATCTGTGTATTTTATTTAACATTCATTCTTAAATTACAGTTATGCCAAAACAAACTGCTTCTGATGAAGGAAACATTAGTATAATCCTAAAAACATGCATATACACTTAGTAGGATCTTCTACATTCCTAAATAAATTACATGCATGATATACATTAACCAATAAAGAATACCAATATGAGAATTCAGGACATTTATTTTTCTGCATGGAGATTTAACTACTGTACAAGACACACACACAAAACAAACCCACAAAGCAACTGTGTGTAATAGGTAGTGAGAGACACTTAAAATAAGCGTATTCAAAATGCCTACAAACAGAGTTTTTTTTTTAGGCAACAAAATATCTTCAGTCCTTGACATCTTCTCACACTCACCTAGCACCACAGATGCAAGGACTTACAGTAAACGTGAACAATCTCATGCTTGAAACCTAAAGCATGCATTGAATAGAATTTATACATTATGATCTACTCTACTAAGTATGCAATACATACTTCTAATATTTTATACATTAGATTACCCTGCAGCATTGTGAAATTTTAACATTTATGCAAAACAACTTTTGAAAGACGCATGAAACAAGTTTTTAAGGATCACCCCCAGGCTGTTTACACAGGCATTGGTTTGGTTAAGTGGGAAGATGGCAGCAGCCTCAAGGTTCATACTGAATGAAAATGGTATATGTGCATGTCAACACATGTAAAAAACACATATATACACAGATGGCACAAAGATTTGCGCAGTTGGAATCACCAGTGCAAATGCATGCATTTGAGGTACTTATTTCTTCCATGGTCAGGTATAATTATGCACAGCCACGTTCCTCAAGTACTAAATATTTCAGGCCTGATCAAATGAAAAGCTGTAAGAAGTGTAAATATGAGATATTTATATAGTTAATTTCAAAGTGCTATGCTTTTAATGAACATTTGTTTAACATTATACGTTTACATATTTAGTTTAAAATATTTACCAACCAATAAATTTTCTCATTGTAAAGAGAATGACTGGTAGTTATACCTGGCCAAGTGATTTAAATAGCATACTTTTGAAATTCTAGCAAGAACAGTAGTGAAATAGTAAAATACTTCATTATTGCTTCATTGGACCAAGAAACCTAAAAGACATAGAAAAACAATGCTTCACTGATGAAAACTGAATATCCAGAACAGCGGTACATGCCCCACAATGGCCTCTGTCCAATCAAAACTAAGCACTCCCCACGTTATCGATGCCATTGGCATCCACATGGATGTCAGGCTCCCCACCACACAAAGATGAGGGAACAAAGCGGCTAACAGTGGGACACAAACAGCTCTTAAGCTCTGGCAATTCTTGCTTCAGGCGTTCCAACTGCTCCACTTGGAATATATTTGGCTGTTCAGGCATCCAATCATATATCCTATGATGAAACAAACACAAAACACATAAAATAGTGTAATTTTATGGTTTACTTAAGACTCGTCTGAGTTAACCTTTTCAGGAGACTTTGTTTACAGAATGCCGGGAACATCCATATTATGGGTTTTTTCCCTAAGATACAAGCATCAGTTCCATTTAAAAATATTTCTCTTCTCCCCAGCCTTTCCAATAATCCAGAAGAGCAGCATCTCCTTTTGTACCCCTGATGCAAAAGAGCTGATTAAAAAGCAATTGAATCAGAAAACAAAATCAGTACCTTACTAGTGATTCTTCAAGTAGCTTCTCTCGAAGTCAATCAACGGGCAATGCCTTATTTTACAGATGGGAAGCTATTAAGAGGCAGGGCTGGGATTCACACAGTTCTGATTCAAAGCACTAAAGATCAAGATGAAAAGGACTGCTCACCAGTGTGAGAATTATCCTAAAGCTGTGCAGTACAGGCAGAGGAATCCAGAGTTGAGAGCCCAGAAAAAGCGCCATGTGACGATGGCAGCACTGGCACTGCCCATCAGCAGAGAAAGGAGGGCCTTTCGTGCCTAAATGTGAAAGCCAGGCAACTTACGTGAGGCACTACAAGAGAATCTTTACGACATCACAGTAGGAAAGAATTTCTTAAACAAGATAAAAAAATGTATTGACTCCATTAAATATTTGACTATATTAAAACAGACTTTCTGTTAAAGACACATGTAAGAGAATGAAAAGTGACCTGTGGGTCAAAGTATCAGACTGAATAGAAGCCTCTAACTTTAGTCTCTCCCTATATCCCGTTAAAAAGAAAATAAAGCAGTTCAGAAAAAAATCCACGAGCATGAGGAAAAACCAAAGAGACATGGCAACAAAATTCTGGAAGCTGGAAAACAGATGGATAAGTAATAAAAAGTGTTTCAGTTAGCAGAACGGAAAAGGCCAACTCACAAGGCAACAGTGGAAAAAACAAAAAGGCTGAGTTAAAAGCAGCACCAAATCCCTCTAGAACTGGGGTGAAAGAGAGGGGCTGCAACAGGGAGGACAGGCGCAGGCTCTGAGCACAGCAAGCACGCCCCTTCCTGCTCCTCCCCGACGCCAAGCGAGGCGTACTTCGAGAATTACAATCTCTTGGAACGGAGGACATGACCACGTGAGGATTTAGGCATTTTACAAAACCACCAGCAGCACCAGGGGAACTAGAGACAATACACACATCTAACAAGTGCTAAATACAGAGAGAGGCCCCCTTCTCCAGCTCTCTTCTGTCACCTGACTCCAAGAACCTGGCAGCCAGACCTGGATTCTCTAGGTAGAATATATAGATTCTTCTATGAGGAATCTGATCAGACAAAACGTAAAGTTCTAAATCCACTGACACCAGAGGTATGACCAAACAGGCTCCCTGATCACCCCATCGTGAAATTCTAGTCAACAAGCCCCATGCACACACTCAGAGCTTCCAACAAGCTTTGTAGATCCCGATTCCTTATCGCGAGAAGCAGCCAATGATTTCCAAACATCTGAGAAAAGCTTCTAACTTGTAAGATAGTGAGCAAAAGACAAGAAAATTCCAAAAAGACAAAAAAAAAAGTTTTTTTATGCCTTCAGAGAAATAGTACTTGCATTGAATGAGAACAGGCTGTTATAAATATAGAAAAAAGAGCATTTCAAAGAAAAAGGTTCTTGGAAATTAAAAACACAGTAAGACATGAAAAACTCAGTAGAATGGATGGAAAATAAGGCTGAGGAAATCTTACGAAGTGGAGCAAAAAAACAAAGATAGACAATAGAAGAAAAGATAACAATTAGAAGTTTGGTCCAATAGTGTATAAGATGCAAACAAAAGGAGTTCTATAAAGAAAAAACAACCTCACAAAAATGGAAGGGATAAAAGTTGAAGAATGCACAAAATTTTCCACATCATTGAGGACATATATCAATAGACTAAGAGGGCTACCACGTGCCCAGCACTACGTGTGAAACCAGATCCACAAAAAGACCCATCTCTCTGAAATTTTACAACACTGGTGACAAAAAGAAGACTCTCCAAGCTCCCAGAGAGGAAACAAAGAAATCATATGTGAGGGAACAGGAATCAACATGGTTTCACACTCCTCAACAGCAACACTGGAATTGTAAAGATGACAGAGAAATGCTTTCAAACTCTAAAGGAAAATGATTTCTAACATGGAATTTTATGCCTGGCCACAATACTTCCAGACATGCAAGAGCTCAAAAACATTTACTTTCCGTGTCCTCCTTTCTCAAAAAGATAATGAAGGATGTGCTCCATAAAAACAAAGAGAGAAAACAAGATAGTAAAACAAGAGAAAAAAGGATTTGGACTATAGGAAACAGGAGCTCTGACACAGGAACTGTAAGGGAGCAGTCATCACTCAGGATGGCAGTTGTGCCCAAAGAAGTCAACCAATCTGTACTGGAGCAGTCTGAGTGAAAAAGAAGGCGTGCGAAGGGCTATCACTCCAAGTGGGCCACTGCTACTCTACCAGCTTTGTAACCTAAGGACAGAGTGTTCTAGTGAGACTGAACCAGAATCTTGCTGAATATGGTTTGCCTTAACTATGTGCCGATGAGTTTCCACTCTGACAGGTTCATTGTGCGCTGGGCTACTCCTGAGAACTGATGGTGGGGTATGATGAGCACAGAACCAGGAAAACACAGAACAGCCTGTTCCACGTGACCATATTCCTGCTGTGCTTCCAATGCCTGACCACAGACAAGATGCCTTATCATGCTGAGCTAGAGACCTAGTGGGTGGCAATCAGTTCAGAAAGTAGCATTTAAAAAGGTGAGGGCCAGTGGTGCAAGGAACGAGCACACACATGAATAAGAAATATCCAAGGAGCATTATTGTTAAAATTTTGTTTCAGGTACACACTTGTAGATATACATATCTCTGTGTACAGTGGATTGCAATGTAAATGCATTTCTAACCGGGTTGGGGTCAAAAGGTTTGAAAGTCATTGCCCTAGAGAAACTTCATACACATATTTTAGGAGACACTATTATGTAATATCAAAAACTTGGCAACCACCTAAGTGTTCTCAAATAGGAGAATAAATTGTGGCAGAGACATGCAGCCAAGCATATTATCCAGCCATGAGGATGAATAAATTATAGCTATATGCAACAAATGGACTCATTTTAGGAACATCAAAACACATGGAAAAAAAGTAAAAATAAAGTTAAAAGCCATGCAAAACTAAATGGTACATGGTTTAGTGATACAAATTAGGAATTTAAAAAACTTTTAAAAAGAATACTAATTTGATAAGCAGTTATACCTGAGGGAGGAGATAGGGGAATAGAATTAGGGAGAGGCACACAAGGGACTTCAAATCTAAGGATAATGAAAGTTCTTTACTTTAAAAGTGGTGTCTGTTATAGTATTTCTTTTAAATCATTTGAGCAGACAGTCATTTTTATAAAAAGAGGGAACGGTGCCAACTTACGAGGCAAGTACTTGGTACCCATACCAAAATTAGATAACCATTTGAGAAACGTAAATTAAAGGCCATCTTACTCATTATCATAAATGCAGAAATCCCCAAATATCAGCAAATCAAACATAGTGGTTTATATGAGATAATATATCACAAAACTATGATTAACTGTAAAATCTACTGTGTTAACACCTTTGTAAAAGAAGAGAACACAATGGTTTTTGACATACTAAAACACCCATCCTCATCACACTTCTCCCCAGTGTAAAATGAATCAAAGGCTCACAATCACTAATCATTCAAAACCTTCTATATAATGTCCAAATTTGACAATGACAAAAATAATAGCATAAGCACATTAAGTACCAGAAGAAACAGCTAAAAAAAATTAGGACACAGAACTCAGCTGGAGACAATGAAAGGGATAGTGGACGGCTGGTTTTTATTGTAAGCCTTGTAGACTATTTGATTTTTAAAATTATATACGTATAGTTATGCATATATATGTAGTTCTTTGATTAGAATTAAATAGAAAGAATTTGAAGGGTAAAAAGCAGCTCTAACACAACCCACCGCACCTCTCATCAAACCCTAGCAGGAGCCGCTGCTGGGCTGTGTCCTCAATGTCCTCTGCGCCCTCAACGTCCTGCCCCATTTGTGCTCTCACCTCTGCCTAAAACGCAAACCCTGTGAAAGCGAATTTAATCACACCGCCCCCAAATTCATCTCAATGCTTCTTTTTAAAAATTATTCTTATTGACCGTGGGCCTGAAAGAACTCACTTTCTTCAGGGCCTTTTATATCACATAGCATCTTCCTGTTCTCCACCACGTGTTCATATTTGGCTCCAAGCAAGTGAGGTTGTTGAGATGAAGGATCTGCCTAAAATTTGTATATCCCACAAAACTGTACATGGTATAATCTCACAATACGCTTTTCTTGCCTGAAAATATCTGCAATCATTCCTTCCTCCTCCTTAAAGAAATATTCTTCAAAACTTTGCTAAAGCCGGAATTTCCTTCAAATTGTTCCTTTAAAATTTTAATTTTCCATCAGTTAGGTAGAAATGTCTATTAAAAAGAGCTATGAATCATTTGCTGCTTAATACAAAATTAACCAAATAGTTAAAAAAAGGAAGGCAGGCATTATCTGGGCTGTAATTTTAAAACCATACTAATTCAGACAAAATAGTGAAAAAAAAGTTTTATTAAGGAAGAGATATAACTGTATAGAACAGAAATATGAACTAAATTCCAGGAAAATATTTTTCAAAGCAGGCCTGGTAAGAATTTTATCACTTTCTCTTTGTATAATGCTGTTCAAGTATTAACAAGTCTGCTCATCCCTCTAACTCATGCCCTCTAACGACAGCCCTTCTAACTCAAAGTTCCTTTATGCTAAGCAACCTTTCCGGCTCTCAGATTAGTGGCTCTCAAACCTGCATCATAAACTCCCGGGGAGCTTATAAAAAAGGAAAAGAAAAAGATCTGTTCAACAAATATGGGAGCTCCTACTGTGTATCCCACATTGTTGTGACCTCTGGAGATAGGGCAGTGTATGAAACAGGCAAAGAGCTGGTCCCCATGGAGCTTGTTGGGGGGAGGGGGGAGGCGGGGGCTGGGAAAGGTGGTCAGGGAGAATGTAAATTAAGTAGGATATAATATGTACATGGGTATATCAGATGGTGGTGAACACCATGGAAAAAAGTCAGGAAGCACATTGTGAGCAGAGTTGTTATCTGAATTAGGATATTCAGGGAAGGGCTTACTGAGATGGTGACATTTCAGTCTTTCCTGGAGAGAAACAGCGGGAGGCCAATGTGGGGGTGGCTTGAGGGAAAGCTGTAGGAGAAGAGGTCAGAGACAGAAAGAGGGCAGATGTAGTGGTGGGGGATTGGATGGGAGTCAGCCCACACAGGGCCACATAAGGAACTGGGATTTCACTAGAGGTGACACAGAAACTGCGGGAGAGTTTTACCCAGTAACCTGACTTCGGCTTTAACAGGCTCCCTCAGGCTGCTGTGCTGAGAAGACGGAGCAGGGACGCATGGGTGGGGCCAGTCACCAGCGAGCAGGCTACTTGACTAATTCACCTGAAAAATGAGGTGGCTTAGGAGAGAGTGACAACAGTAAAAGTGGTGAGTGGATGGAGTCAGGATATGTTCTGACAATATAATCAACAAGATTGTGTCTGGCTGGATTTGGGGTATGAGATAAATAGAGTTATGAAAGACTCTGAGGATTTGGCCTGAGAAACTGGAAAGACGGAGCTGGCATTTATACTGAAATCAGCAAGTCTTCGGAAAAACAGGTGTTGGCAGCTGGATACAAACGTTTAAAGGTCTAAGGAAGGGTCTGAGCTGGAGACATAAAAGTTCGGGAATATACAAAGGTAGGAAAAGCCACAAAACTGGAGGACCTCACCACAGAAGCTGGTGCAGACAGAGAAGAGGTCTGGGGCAGACAGCCACTCCCACCCACAAGACGACTTAGCGCGTCTGGGTTAGGGCCCAGTCACGCGAATTTTTAACAAGCTTCCCAAATGACTGTGGCACTCCAAAGTTTGAAAAGTTCCAATGACAAAAAAATGTTCAGATAAATCTCAGGCCAAACTACAGATTTTTTTATCATAACTAAGTTTAATATTATTTTTCATTTTCTAAGATGTGAACTACTGTTTTCCTAACATTCCATAGAAATTTTTCATGAAAAACAAATACCTATCATAAATTAGACCATTAACTCCAAATTCCTTCAATTTCTTTCTGTTTTCAGGGTCGTTGGTATCATCACCCCAGCAGAATATGACTAGTCCCTTAGCTTTTGCCTCTTGAATGTAGGACGGGTTTCTGAGCAGGTCTTCAGTATGTGCATTTATCCCCTAAAAGAAGAAAAATAGGTTTCTCATGAAAAAGTAACTTATTAACTGCAGATGCTAAATGGTCATACTCTAGATCAGTGCTCTCCCAAGTAATGGGCAGAAAAAGAAAACGTGAGAAGTTTTTCTTACAATTTATTTTATTGAACAAGTTTACAGTCTAACCATTTTAGGTGACTCATAAAATCCACTCAGAAAACTAAACTATAAACTTTACTTAGCCTAAGCCTGCAAGAAAATATTTTTTCCCCCTAAGAAAAATTAGCCCTGAGCTAACTACTGCCAATCCTCTTCTTTTGCTGAGGAAGACTGGCCCTGAGCTAACATCCATGCCCATCTTCCTCTACTTTATATGTGGGATGCCTGCCACAGCATGGCTTGCCAAGCAGTGCCATGTCCGCACCAGGGATCTGAACTGGTGAACCCTGGGCCACCGAGAAGCGGAACGTGCGAACTTAACCACTGGGCCAACGGGCCGGCCCCAGAAAATATTTTCTTTTGTTCATTTAACTGCTTTTCATTCTCAGATCTAATATCCTCATTTTTAAGTAGAGCTCCTGCTTGTTATACATAGGTCAAAACTAAAAAATTAGATGTATAAAGTAACATGAAACCTTATTTACTACTGCTCTAAAACATTTTAAAAAATTAAAATTAAAAAATTCAAACATAGCTTACCAGTAGATTTTCAAACTGTGCAAAGCTCATTGCAATGGGGGTTGTCCGAGACCTGAGGTCCATGAGTTCAGGATAAATATCAGACTTTCCTTGAGTCAAAAATAATATGGGATATTTGTTCTGCTTTTGCCGAACCCTAAGAAAGGCAATTTAAAAGATACTTTTCATTGGGGAAGTAATTATACTGTTTAGAAATTTTAGAAAATTCTAAACATACAAAGAAAACAAACCCAAAAACCCCATAATTTCATTACTGAGACATAACCACCATCAACATGCATTGCCTTTCAGTCAAAATAAAATTTTTTTCTTAATTATTCTACACAAGAGCTAAAATATTCTCAGAAATGGGGAACAAGAAAGTCCTTGTGGGCTTATAATTGGGTAAGGAGGACGTTACATGCCTGTAAAGTGAAACACAGGGCAGAGGTAGACCCAGGGGGCATGGAGGGCACCCCAGCAGGGTAGTCCCTGAAGGGATGTGAGAATATGTATAACCCTGACTGAGAGGAAAATTCAAACGCGAAGCCTGGGCAACTTTCCCACTTCCAACCATGACCTTTCTATCCTAAGTCCTAGCTACAGTCTAAGAGTATAGGAGAAAAAAACTGAATATTACTCACATTGTGCAAATATCTGCATCAAATGAAGAAAACACTATTCTCCTCTTCCCAGAATTTTCTAAGACAGTTTTTAAAATTATATCCAAAAACAGATTCATGTCAAAATATGTTGATAAGTTACCATCCCACATTCCATCCTATGTGGAAGAAATTAACAGGAAAACTAAAGTCATTAAATACCCTAAAATTACAGTGCTGGAAAAAAATCTTGATAACATCTAGTCCAACACTTATTTTACAGATGAAGCCTGAAAACATTCACTTGCCCAAGACCACACAGCAACTTAGTGATGGTGCAGCTATCATAATTCAAGTATGGAGAACTTATATACAAAGTGACTATATTATCAACAGACTTTTGCTTTAACGAATTAAGGTTAACAAAGTAAAAGCTAAAACTCTGGTAATTTGCAATCAACTATGACTTTAAAATATAATCTTCATAAACTAAAGGACCAAAGGACTCCACTTCACCTGCTTATTCTGTAACTCATTACAAAAAACCCCTGGTTATTATGAATTAACAGTTAAAAATCTCATTCTGTGGGTCTTAAGCATATCAACTACTCTCAACAAATAATAAAACTAAGTCTCCAAATATAGCTAAGATACCAAGAACCCTGTTGATATTCAAACATTAAATGTTTTAAGTATTAGTCATTAAAATAATCTAAAAGCTCAGAAAACTAAAAATCACTTATTAGGAAAACCTTGGTTCAACACTCACTATGTTAACCAGAACCAGCTTATCATAAATAGCTACTTAGAAGGCATGATATCTGCGGAGATTTCTTTTCCTAGTTAATTATTACTAGCTAATGCCACTTAACAGAAAATTAGGAAATTATTTAAAATACATGTTTAGATGGGGGATAAGAAAACAAAAACTAACCACAGAGTTATGAAGTTGACTGTCCAGAAAGTTCTCACTGTTCACTTTGTAAGTATGCCCAGAAACCATCCATATTAATGTGCATGAGAAACATGTAAACTGAAATTTCTACTATCATACATTCATCACTACTTCAAGCACTCTGCGTTAGTAAAAGTGTAAGACAGACTTTATTAATAAAAGGACCAACAAGCACTGTGTTTGCTAGAAGAAGCCACAATAAGATTTCAGTCTCACTTATTCCATTAAAATGAAGAGACAGGGATGAATGCATTTAAAGAAATGGAGAGGGAGGAAGAAGAGGGTGTTACACAGAGAATTACTTACCCTCTGTTGGCAGATCCATTTTATTTCTATGTTAAACCCTACGTCTTCTGGCAAAGACTCTAAAACCTAGAGTTTTGTTTGTTGGTGGTAAATTTTGTTTTGTTTTTCGTGAGAGGAATGGTAGGATAAGAAGAAAAAAAGGAAAACAATTACTACAAAAAGAAATCTATAAGAAAACATATCACTAGTAAGGATAAAAAATGTTATGTGCTTTCAGCATAACCCACTATCTTTTCTCATACTCAAAAACTGGCAGCCTGGTTAATGATCAAGTTAAATAAGAAAGTCAAAAAAATTAAATAGCAAAAGCAGTAGTCTCAGGCAACATCTGTGGTAACTGATGACTACTACCACAAAGATGAACCTTCAACCTAAAATCCTTTCACCATCACTACTGAACATGCCAAATCAGCTGTAGTAAGACAGGCGACCTCATGAATTTAAGAAGACGTTTGTCATGCTTTCTGAATTGCATTCAGGCTTGCCTGAGGCTGCCAATCTACCATACTAAGAAGTGGCTATATGAAAAGCCACGATTTCTAGCTTATTTCCAAGGCGGTGATGCTTAACAAACACTATACTGAGAACCCCCTGAAAAGATGTCATCTCCAAATGAAAGAGTATGCCGAGGCTCATTAACAAATAAGGCACTATCTATATAAGCAAACAATAAGTTGTCAACTTATCCAGACTAAGTTACCTGGACATTTTGCAAAAGATCATTTTGGCTGCATAACTAGAAAGTCAAATTGAAAATATGAAGCTTGAATATTAACGTACAAAGAGCTGACTTGTTGAGTCTTCAAACATGAAGACCAGGCAAACACATAAACATACTCAGGGCAAAATGAATTTCAAACAGATTGTTTTTTAGCTCAATTTATTTCAGAAGTTTAGAAATCATTTAACATGTATAGGATATACAGTATTTAATTGTATAAGAGCCAATAAAAGCATACTAACAGATAACACAGTGGTGAGAACACAGTTGGGCGTAGGCTGACCTGGGATCTAGCCCTGTGGTCTGCACTAACCAGCTGCATGGAAATACAGCACCCAGACCAGTTTGTCTCAGTTTCATGTGGGGCTTCTTTACTTTCTTCTCTGATATCTTTAGCCTTATTTATTTTTAATGTACCTGTCACATTTTTACTGCACTAATGCAAAATTAGAAAAATAAGGACACTAGTGTATATTAGTGTTGACTACTAAACATCAAATTTGCAGATTCTCCTTCATACTAAGATTGGATTTGGCCTTTCTTTAGTTTTAAAATTTCTCTGTGATTAAATTATAGTGATGGTAAAGTGGGTGAATAAATGAGTGTGTGTGTTTAACTTCTTTGGCTAAGTAAATGTTGTCAAACCTCTGAGACACAATTTTTTCTTAAGTGTTTTTCTGTTCTATGAAATCATGAGATTTCTAAGAAGCAAATGATTTCAGAATTTTGGACTAGAACAAATGACTTTACTTAGCTGGGCTTCATAAATATATGAAAAATTATTCAAATCATGTTTTAAATACACTAGGACAACGTCCATTGCAAGGACAAGGGGCTCTCTGGTAGCATCCTTTTTGTAGGGTGAATAATCGCGATAAATTGAAATTACCCAATTTTGCCTAAGAAATCTATTGTACCTGACATCACCAAAAAAGACAATGGAGAAGAGTAGAAGTTAGGAAATGGAGCCAGTAGGAACCAAAGCAGACCCAGCATGGTCAAGGAAAGTGTCTGGTATCCATGTAGGCTTGCCTGATGCTGTCAAAGGGATTCCTGTATGAATTGTGCCTAATTTTTAAATCGTCATGCTAGTTTTCGTTATGCTTTTTCACAACAAATTCTTGAAACTCGTGGCGTATTTTAAGTAACCAGGGCACTTATTTTCTCTGCTTGGAGAATTTCATTTCTCTCTAAAAGCTAAGGAACAGTTTTAAATATTGTAAAAATGCCTCTCCCATCATTACATCTCCCTCCCACCCCTTTTTATGAGCCCTCTCCTTCCTGTTTATATACAGAAATATGTGAATTTCCTATTCTTACCAAATTAACCCATTGAGGTGGGAATTTTTATTCATTTGAGAAGATACGTTACTCTTAAAAAAAAAAGTAGCACCACAACTAGAAGGACCCACAACTAAAATACACAACTGTGTACTGGGGGGATTTGGGGAGATAAAACAGAAAAACAAAAAAAAAGTAGCATAGGTACACCACCCAAGATTGTATCTTCTCTGAAAACATCAATGATGACAAGTTTACATTAAAGCTGTCTTTTACACAGCCTTTTTAGTGCCCATTTAAAAGACCAAAATAAATTATTCAGATATAACAGAATTAATGAGATAGTCTTGCTCTAGTTTTCCTAAGGAACTTACCATCTTAAGAGAAGGAAATGGCTGATTTTCAGAAAAAGAATTTTCTTCCTCAACCACAGATTCTGAAATTTTAAATTTAAAAACTCAGTAGATAAAATACCATTTTATCACCAAGATCTTTTCCTAAATTCTTAGGGCAAAAAAAGAGAAGCTGAAGTAATTATGAGATCATTTCGTATGTAGTATTTTTTGGAGGCTCTTGTATTTATTATTTTTAACCATTAAGACTCCCATTTTTGAAATAAGCATCCTTTATGAAGACCAGTTTGCAATACTTAATAGAAACATCACAGTTGATGGCCCCAACCGTGATTATTTTATTATAAAAATGTAATACTTTTTAAAAAGTAGTCACAAGTAGTGATCTGTTATTTCTCAGTGGAATTAAGAGCTGTGTCATCTTGCTAAGCCTTCTATTTGAAATATCAAAATCAACTCAGAAGTTAGAAATTAAGAGAATCTATAGCTACCATTGTTCTTTTTTACCATTACCACTTATCTCAAGAAACACAAGAATTTTTTCCGAAAGAAAAAAATATCAAGCTTTTCTTAAAACAAATCACATAAAATTTTCCTGTTGAATAAATTAAAGGTAAATTCATTTTATTACTAATAGTCATGAAATATCTACGAACCAAGAAGTCGTATTTATGTTCTGGGGTTAATCTTTGGAGTCTTTAGCACTTCACAATTTCTTCATAAAGGCATTCCAACTATCCTGTTATTACAACTGCAGATAAACATCTAAGGAGTAACTACCATGGGCAGAGCCCTGTAAATGTCTTGGGGAATATGAAAACAATTCCCCACCCTGGAGAGGTTTACATTCTAGATGAAGAGACAGGACATGTACAGAAATAAAGGGTTACAAAAGGGCACAAGAAGCCTCAAATGAATGGCAGAGACTATTAAGTTCTATGAAGTAAAAAGAAAAGTGGAATTGCAAAGAGATTTTGTAGGCAGGACAAGCTTTGAGGAAACTGAGCCACAGAGCATTTAAGTAAAGTAGGTCACAGCTGGTAAACGCTAGAGATGGATTCAAACTCCCAGCTCTGGAGCCAGATTCTATGCTCGATACAGTTTCCACTTTGTAATGGTTAAGAATGTTTGGAAAGATTGATAGGTATAAAATTATAAAGAACTTTGATCATCAAGCTAAGAAAACTCACAAAAATAAAAAAATCACAGTTACTATACATACGACATACATGCATTTGATAATTAATATGCGTAAAAAGCCTTCATGTTTATAAAATCACACTGAGAGAGCCCAGTATTATATTTACTCAAATGACCAAGAGTATGTTAAAATGGATAAGGAAATATTGTATATATGCTAACTACCAAATGAAAACAGTGTTTCCATATTGGTACATACCTTTCAGATCTTTAGATTTTAGTGCAGTCACATGAGCGAGCTAGAAAACACACACACACATACAAAATGCAATCAGAAAAAAAGCCTTAGTTCATGAAGATATGGTTAATAGAACTGTAACTTGAATAGCTAGCAAGTTAGAGAAAACTATAAAATGTAGAATTATCAGTTTACTAAGAGTAAGCACTAACCACTGTATATATTTTATGTGCATACATACAGAGAAGATCATGATCAAATACCCAAATACGGAAGAAGAATATAAAAATTCTTAAATTAGGAAACTCTTTATACTCAACCATTTATTTAGGTATCTAATGGAAATAGGAAGAGGGATCATGTAAAATTACATAGCATAACAAAACATACAAAGACCTACCATAGTAACATAAGTATAAAAACCAACAATAGCATAAAAGGCCAATTGTAAACTAGTGACAGCTATATGAAGAAGGGCTAAAGGAGACCAGAGGCAGCCTAAGATTACGGATGAGAAGGGCTAGCCCCTATCACCTACAAAGACATGGGCTAGCCCCTTCACGAATGCAAAAACAACAGGGTCCATGGAAACTGTTAGAGAAGAGATGGATTAGCACAAACGTATGCTTCCTAACAGAACAGAAAACCAAAGCATACACTCTACGCATGCTGAATAGACAGTCATCTCCATGTGCAGAGAACATTAGCACACACAGACAAGTATAAATAGTCCTAAAACTAAGAGATAATTTACATTTTATGCTACTATGACTACCTTTAACAACTGGAGCTGGTCAAATGTTAATTCCTTTACTGGAATTTCAAATAATTCAACTGGATCAGCATCAAATTTCTAAAAAGAAAACAAAGAGAAAAACAGGCCCCCAATTATTACTGAACGTTTACCCTAGACAAGACTAATATCTCAATTTACTGAATGATAAAAACAATTGTTTTGTGGCCACATCGAGCCTACGCAGGGGAGCCTTTCTTACTGAACACCACCTCCCAGCTCTTAAAATCTGGCTTTTGTTTTTAATGTAGGTGGGAGTGCCTGAAAGAAAACAATGGCTGGGAGGAAGCTGTGGCCCTGAAGACACACTGAGAACAAAGCCAGAAGTCAGCCATTTCCCCTATTTCCTGTCATGCTGTATACATCTTATCTGACATATATCCATGCTACATGACTAGGAAATCAACATGCAAGTACTATGTAAGGATTAATTTCTGTCAATAAGTTTCTGATCTTTTCTAAATCTTTTAAACTTAAGTTTGGTTAAAAATGGCCACAGAAATCAACTGTCATGAAAAAAATTGTCTGATTAGCTATAAGCAGTAATACTTAACTGGAACTCTAATCTGTTATAAACGTTTTCCCCATGTGAAAATCTGTTTTATTAGATTTTAATACCATATCAAATGTCACAATGCTATGCACCTCTTTCTTAAGGAAATGAGTTAATGTACCACCAATAAATCATCAATCTAACAAATATACTAAAATACATTACATTTATATTCATTCATGTATATATGGTATGAGCCTGTATATGCATAGTTTCTCTGGAAAGACACACAAGAACTACTAAGAGTAAGGGAGTGTGATCAAGGAGAAAGGGGAAAGAAGATTTATTTTTCATTTCATAATCTTCTAAACTATCTACAGTTTTATAATGAACATGAAATTGGTTTTTTAAGGAAAATACCAGTTTAAAAATTAAAACTCAACCTAAAAATATATACAATTCATTACTTTCATTCCCTGATTAACTCACCCAAGTTCAACTTAAGAGTAAGACAGAGTCTGGTGAAAACGGGGCTCAGCAATACTCTTCAATTACCTCTCAGAGTTTTAGAAATTAGAGCTAGATTCATTAACCTCAGTCTTGGTTAGTAAGCTCCTTTACCATTCCATTCCTTCCCATTTCACTTTGCATTAATGTTTCCCCAAAAGCAAAAATAAGCTGTTCCATTTCTATTAAGTTATTCTACTTCTGTCGTCTAAATAGGTACATTTCCTTCCTTCCCTCTCCTAATACCGTGAAACAGAAGGGTTCTCTTCTATACATCACAGTAAGCCAAAACCAGAGGACTGATGAGAATCGACTAGCAGGCAGAGCCAGGTGCTTTGTTATATATTTACAGGACAACATGCAGTGACTGGTACAGTGTTATACATGTTAGCAAACTAGCCTTTACTTTAAATCAACTCAGTGGAAAATGCCCACCACAGTTTTAAAGAAAATACCAAATGAACCCTCCTAGTTTAAGTCCTGAGAAATCACTTGGTTAATTTGTACACTGAACTTTAACTAATATATAATTATCACAATTATCCTTATACAGCAACAATTACAATTTTTAAGAAATTATATGCATTTTCAAATCTCCTTCTGGACTTGCTCCTCTATCCTGTCCTTCTCTCCACCTGTTCCTCCCCAGTTCAGGCTTACTGTACTTTGGGCCCACGTTACCTCTCCCTCACCTCCAGTCTCCATCCTCTTAAAGTCCCCTTACAACAGGTACCAAAATATTAATCCGAAGTTTAGTTCTGAACATTTCTCCTCTTGGCTCAAAAGTCTTTCCTATCTCCCTAGTTCTTCAGTCTAAACCCCTTCACTGGGGCCCTTCGGTATCTGGCTCCAAAAGCATTTTTACAATTTCATTTTTCACTCTGGTTCTTCCCACTTTAGCCAAATCACAGTAGCCTATTAATTTGATAAAAATCTTGAAGAAGAAATAGAAAGGAGCCTAGAAAACAAATACTCTGATAGCTTTCTCTACTGCCTCAATATAGGGACAGTGGCAGACGGACACAGAAACCTCTTGGAATGTCCTTTCGCTAGATAATATAAAAAAAGGCAAATTCCGCAATGGAGATCCTACTCTAGAAAATTAATATTCCTCTCTCTTCACCCTCTCAATATTGTAGGAGCTTGAGAGAGGAAAGGATAAGCAGTAATTCACCAAGAAAACGAACTGAACGACTCTACCTAGTAATAATTAAATATATATATATATATATATATATATATATATAAAAACACCTGTTTTTAAACCTTTTATTTAACTGTAAGAGTTTGAAATGAGGGAATTTCAACATACCTTTTTCATAGTCAAACAACAGGTGAGATCATGATACACCACAGGCACAAAATCTTTTGAAAGATGTACATCAAATTCTACAAAGGCTGCACCCTGACAAAAATAAAGAAAACATGTATTTAAAAAACATCATCTGGCCCAAGATACATCTAAAACTATGAAGACATAAGAAATTTACTTTTCACTATAAAATTATACACCTGTACACAAAAACATAAAACTTCTTCATGAATTATTTACTGCTACACTTTAAGCTTTTTCTAAAAAGTAATTTCTCCCTTTAAAACAACTGTGTAAGTATTTTGTTTTTTTGCAACAGCACAACAATTTTTTCCTGGCAAGAAAATGGGCATTGATCCACTCAAACACAGCCCGAGGCCCCTTCTGTGACAGGAGACAGCCTTCACAGGTGTCACCTCTGCTACTGCTATTAGCAGAAATAGAGCCTAACAGGAGCCTAGAGCTCAGGGCTACCTGGTACCTTCCTGCTCTGCATACCTTAGCTGGACAGCCGAACCTCAAAGACGAGGTGGGAAATTGAATAAGCTGTAGTCTCTTAGCTCTGCTCCTTGCTGCACTGGAGCAGCACACCTTACAGCCTTTCTTAACAAAACCTCAGCAATCAGATTAAAGAGCAAACTACACCTGTTCAAAAGACAGAGAAAGCAGAAATGGGCAACAAGAATGTGCACATGCTGAATTCTCTGACAGAGGCCTAAGCAGAAGAAAAGAGGACAAGAATCCAAGTTAAGAATGTATTTTTAAAAGTCAGATCCATTCTGACACATGAATTAATCCAAACAAATGCTGAGAACATAAACTGACATATAAATTGTGCGTTCACTGAAAGAAAGCCAGCTAGGCTCAAAAGAAACAAGGCCTGAGAATTCTGTAATGTTACTATGGCCCAGGGAAGTGATATATAAGAATCGATGGCCATATTTCCACACCCTACCCCAGGTTTAGGTCAAGGAAGGTGCTCAACTTGTAAGTACACATGGACCACAGACCAGGACCAAAGGAGCCTACTTCCTTGATGACTTTGGAAACAGGAAATGAGCTTAGCTTCTATTACTGTAAACAAACACAAACCTAACACCCCTAAATAGTTATAACAACTAAATATATTAAATTATAGCTTTCTAGTTTAAATGTTTAATTTTACATGATCATCATCCTTTAGGAAACTAATTTTACTAAGAGATAAAACTTGATCCCAAAATTCATGTGTGAGCTTTAAGAAATAAGCCAATACACCAAAACCTCTTCAAAGGTATGTTTTTAACATTAAAACAAACCAGCCACTAATAACTAATAGAAGACATTCTAAAATGTGATCCATATGAGTTACAACGGATTTCATCAGAATACAGAAGAAAAAAGCTTACTGAAACCCTCTCTCCAAAAGCAGAGGCCCTGAAAATTCTTTAACAGGGATCTTCTCGTGTTTACAGCTAATAAAACAATGTTATATTAGTTGGCTACAATGAATTAACAGGGGTTCCAAATAATGAACTACAGCCCAATATACTCATAAATTTAATATCATCCTTTCAACACAAAGGCAAAACTAGTCATTAATATTTTTAAACATTAAAATAAATACAGTAATCAACCTAAGATGTCATGAATTATAAAATCCATCATTATTTTATATAGCACTCAGACAGGAAAAAAACACTGCCAACCATACCACGATGCACAGCTAAGAATGTTGTAAAACCCATCCCAATTTTAGAGATGTTAAAATATGAAAAAAGTTATGTCTTAGAACAGATGTTTGCTCCTCTAAGTGATAAACATCTGACAAATCAAGTTTACTTGCTGAACTATTTTTAAAAAAGCAAAGTTGAAGGCATGTGAAGGACAAGGTGTAAAACTAGAAATAAAAGTATGAGATGTTGCTCCATTTTTTCCCCTAGTTTAACTCTGAAACATGAGGCTTTTTTGTCAGGTACAGAGGAATGGGGGGAGGGAGGGGAATCTCAGGTTCTTGATTAAAAATGTCAAGTTGCAGTTGCTGAAAAAAAACTAAAAGCTAAAAAAGCGGACCCTAATCCTTTATAATTGGATAAAAGGAGTTAAGAAATTTAACATAATCAAGCTGATACGCAGGATCTAAACTGACAGAGTTTTTTAAAAGTGTTACATAAAGTCACTATCAAATCCTTCTATGAGCATTACTTCTCAAGTGAGTATCTGAATGAGCATGTTATTCAGTTGATGAAAACCAACGCTTAATGGGGAATGTTTTTCTTGCCCCAATCACTCAAAATCTGTTGTCTCAAAAAAGGGATGCTTATGATTCCATTGTTTTCATCTTAATCTTCACCATGAATCTAAATACAAATGCCTAGAGATACTTCATCTTCACTGAGTGACATATTCAGAAGTATAAACATTCCCCCTTTTAACCTATTAATGAAGGCTGGAGGAGACTCCCCAGACCCGCATTTCTCTACTTTTCTACCTTTGGACCAACAGTCCAAAGTTGTCCAAAGAAGAGATTCACTTACATGACTAGCAGCATTTCTTAAAGAAGCAATAGTATTTTCTTGAACTTTAGCAAGCCTGAAAGAGAAGAAATATATACTATAGAAAAGATAGAGAAAACAAAAGTAATAAAGAAGCCAACTGTATTTTCGACAATGGAAATAGTACTTATTCTCTATTTTGAGGTTAATTTTGCCATCCTCAAAATAAGACTGTAGTACAACCAGAGGCACTCACAACTAGAATATACAACTATGTACCGGAGGGCTTTGGGGAGAAGGAAAAAAAAAAACGACTTGACAATCACTTGGTTGGTGTGTGCATTTATTCCATGGATGAAAGCTCTAATGATTACAGGTATTTACAAGCTGACTATAAACATATCCTATACCAACACATACCTCCCCCCTTCAAGTGAGGTGAGCAATCAGGGAAAGTGATCCTTCGCAATGGCATGAAGTAGTACAGACATAGAAACTTGCTCCTTGCAATGAAGCCTGAGATGATTAATATTGGCACACTTAAAATATTATAATATTATATACTAGAATATAATAATATATTTTTCCATTCGTGAAGGGAGAATGGGAAAAGGCTGACACAGCAATAGAATGGAAGTATGGATATACTGAAAACAGGTGAGGAAACTGAGACCCACAGAGGGCAACATGCCTAAAGTCAGGACCACAACACAACACAGTGATGTCATCAGGCTGACTATGCCTCAAGCTTTCCCTCTTGGCTTTCTAGTTTTAACGTCTCTCTTGCCACCAATTCAGTAGAATATTAAAAAGAGTGACCGGCCAAGAACCTTAGGAGAGAGTTAGTCTCTAATTAATTTGAATTGGGAACCTTAATTACCAAATTACATTTAAATCCCAGGGAAATAATGAAAGGATCATTTGACCTTTGGTTGGTCAAACAAGTTTAACCTTATCAAGCATGAGCTACCAAATGCAAATACTACTCAAATATTCAACCTACTGAGCAGTTGTTGTAGAATTCCCTGCACCTCGATGCCCAACATCCAATGGTATTCTTGGCTTCCAGTACTTGGAAAATGAAGATTTCATGTCACAACTGTATCCTGGTAATGGCTTAATAATTATATAGTCAACTTTCATAGAAAAAAAAAAGAGGGAGAACAAAAATAAAGACAATTAAAAAGGCCATGATGAACTCAATTATATTTAAATATTATTCAAACAAGCTTTATCAGTCTCTATCAAATAGAAAAAAATCAACAAGTCAAAACTGAGTCAAAGTAAAGCTTCCAGAAAATTTAGCTAATATTCTAAAACAAATTACTAATTTAATCTTTATCATTTTAAAAAGCCTCATTTGAAACTAATAAAACTCTAACTTAACCTTTGCTTATTTGTAAAGGGGCGCCCTGCTTCACCACGCTTACCTCTCACTTTGCCTATTGTTTTCCTGGAATTTCTGCTCATGATGGGAAGAGTAAGGATTCCAGCACTCTTCCCACTCTCAGCAATGGTGGATGATAAGAGGCACGCTGTACCCACATGTCCAGGAAGGGCATCGCCCTGAACTATGTGTTCACTGAGATCTTCCTGAAAAAATGAGGTTTAGAATAATCCAAATTCTTATACTTCATTATTTTCCATTTAAAGATCAAAAAACTCCCTTAAAGTCAACTCAGAATCTATGGAGGAAGATCAATAAGAAACAAAATCAAATTTATATTCAGGCAATTTAGATAGCTTCTTTGTAATAAATAATATTTTCTTCTAGTATATAATATTTTAAGATTTTTATTAAATCTTAATTTACACTTTATTAATCATAACTCTGATTTGCACTTCTGATCCTCTAATATTATTAGGTGAATTTAAAGCACTAACTGAAAGTTTCTAAGTACTTTTATATTCCAAGACTAATTATACCTGTAGTGAGCTTTTAATGGATATTATATTCTCTAAAAAGGCATCTACACAGGTGACACAGAAGGACAGTAACTCTCTAGGAAACAGAATACTTACTTTGAGATTACACTGGGTATTTTATCAGCCTCGTCTATGAATAAAACAGTATTTCCCAACTGCTAATCTAATGAAAGTTAGGCTGTTCAAGAGATTATTAAAAGGTAGGTCCTTAAAGAACAAGGAAACATTCCACCAAAACTTCCTATTTTTATAATAAAGTGCCACAAATTTTTAGTACTTAGGTAAAATCTAATTACAGTTTTTTATTATGGTTTTTTGAAAGGAAATACTTTAAATTCCATATAATGCAAGGTAGCCAAAAAGCCACTCACAAAGGCTATGTCTAAGGGCATCATCAAATCAAACAATTCAAAGATTATAATAATTTTAATTATGTGTAACAAGTGTTACTCAGTGGTTTAAACCGATCCTGAATTCTGTTATTTTCAAGAAACTGTGGCTAGCTGCTACTGCTGGGCAAGGAAAATTCCCCACCCTCAAAGATTGAAAACTCTAATTTAGTGGAAATGGGAGTGGAAGCGTCAAAAAGTAAGAGTCTAAGGAAAGCAGTACACAGAACTACTGAGCCAGCACAGCAGAGGAAGGACCTTAGAGGAAGACCTAGGATTATTTGTGGGGAGCATCTGAACAGCCAGTAAGCCAGAGAGCTCTAGTGTAAGTGTCACAAGCAGCTCTGGAAAGTTGGGAGCACAGATTCTGAATAACCTGGCACAATTTTCATAGCAACTTTTTTATTACATATTTATAATACCAAGTAAAGTTGCAAAAATGAGTCTGCTATTACAAAGAATTCTTAAAATGCCTCATTAAAACCAGACTTTAGTCATGAAGAGGAGTCAGTCATTCTAGTTACATCAGGTTGTCCACCAAGAGTTTTAGAACCTGCCCATCCCTCTATTTACCCTTGGAGGCTCCTTTGGGTACAATTCATTTATATTTAGAACAAACACAGGCATCAAGACATCTGGTCTCGATTTGAAACATCAATTCTGCTCAAGTTTTCTTAATTATATTCTTAATAGTACTTGAGTCTGTCAACTCCAAGTTTTTTAAGCCTGCTAAAATGCACACAGGAATAAACATCTAAACAGTTGTATGAGTCATGGGTTCACACAAATTAGACTAAATTCAAAATCAAAACATCTGTAAAAATAGGTTCATGCCTGCATTCTTTCTCAACTCCTTCAGCGAAATAACTACTCACCTCAAAAAAATCGAATATCAGTTCCAGGTTATCCGGTTCCATTGTCTGTATGCTATACTCCGTCCAGCGATCAGGCTGTAAGCCATACCCACACTCCGGCTGTGAATGCCTGCACTTGAACTCATTGTCACTTATTAACGATATCTCCAGGCTGTTGGACATTTTGTGAAGAACAGTGGGAGACACCCTATCATCGTCATCTTCCTCCAGACCTTCTAGTGTCAGCTTTACCCTACACAAAAGTAAAAAATAATGAAATACAAAAAATGCACATAACAGAAGAAAAACCCATAAAATGTTACCCGAATGCCACATTTTAAAGTGCTCCCTGAATATGCTAAATCTTCAAATAACAAAATAATATATTATACAAAAACTACATATATATGCTGCAGGTGAAGGCATTAGTTATGCTTTATAAAATACTGATGTTTTTATCCACAAATATTTCTGCAAAGTATTAAAATGAGATAATGCTTGTCATGCCTAAGGTTGTTTTCATTTTTTTTTTTAAATCAGTCTAAAGAGATATTTACTATTATCCCATTTATAACTGACTATCTCAAATTCTTTTGAGAAGTCTGACAAATGTATATACATAAAATAAGCACATAATTTAATTATATTCTGTTAGTGTGCATTAAAAGACTGTTGGAGTGTGTAAATTAAAAATTTCCCCTTTTCTTCTACCTTACCTCAGTGAGTCCTGGTACTTTGTGCAAAGTATATTATGAAAGAAAAATGTATTAAATATATATCTATGTTGTATAAATATACATATATGTATTAAATATATATACTTATATGCATTTTTTAATGTGTGTGTATATATTTATAGGTATACACTTTTTAATGAAACAAATGAACAAAAAAATAAACCAAGCGTCTAAAACTCTTACAGACCTTGCAGCAATGAAAACAAAGACTAGTTACCCAAGTCATAAGGCCAAAAAGACTAGTCTACTCCCAACGAGAAGCAATTACTTGCACAGAGCACTTGTAATGCTAAAAAGTCAATTCAATTCTACAATATTTCTTGCACCAACTGAAACGTATACATATTCAACAATTTTAGTACTATTAATGGAGGAAGCAACCTTATTGTATAGAGTAACAGCTGAGCTATGGTAACTTTTCATTCTAGATTTAAATGGGATCTGATTGATAACACAAATAATAGAATTGCATTAGTGGGGCCTGCTCTCTCTGCATGACCAACTACGGCTGAGGCTTGTCTTACAGCTACGTAATCCTGAGCTCACCCAGAGGGGACATCTACCAGATTATTCACTTAGTAATACTGTTCCGTAATCATACTATAAAATCAAAAGTAGCACTTCAACAATCCAAACAAAAATCATCATCTCATCTCAGAAACCAAACTCTTAGGAATAGTTCTGGAAAATTTATTCTGTCGCTGAGTCTGAAGGAACAAGCATTCTCTACCAGGATGTATGAAGAGACCACAAATAGACACTAATGAACAGGCAAGAAAGGCATGGAAGATAGAAAATGGCTCTTCTGCCAACAGTAATGCACATCTACCAAAAAAAAAAAAAAACCATTTAAAGGGATCTATGAGAGAGTTTTCATTTATGCTAAAAGTTTTCTTCAAATAGCTATATAAATGTTACAGTCTATCATAGAGACATTGCTTTCCACTTAACTGATGGAGTCAACAGAAAGAGAAACTGCTGTTTAAAACTTGGTGGTAATGAGATAGATCAACATGCCTAATGTTTTATTTAAAATGCATAAGCTGGTGCTGAAGTTTTTAAAATCCTGATATCCTTGCAAATAAATTTATTTCCTCCCCCATGAGGGTTTAGTTCTATCACTAATATCAAATTGGGGGAAAAAATGGTCAGAACAAACACCAATTTCTAGCTATGCACTATTATTTCAATAGGCATCAGTCACTTAATTTGTGGAGCCCAACTAAGTATGGTTATATGAAAATACTGCAATTTGAGCCTAAACAACACAATAATATATACAAACACTCAAAATAATTTCTATATAAACAAGAATGGTATAGGACTCAGTATGCATTTGTAATCCAATCAGAACCCTGACCACTATCTATCTATTAATTTCTTAACTATAGTCAAGGAAAAAAATCCTAATAAGCCCAACCAACCAAGGCTTTATCTTCTGCTATCTTTATTTCAAGGTCTTATGCTAAAAACACTTTACAGCTCTAACACAATTTACTTGCTTCTTTTAACATGTAAGTAAAATATTCACTTATGTATGACTAACTGGTTAGAGAATCTCTGCAGTCAAATGGATCTTGCCAATCGACCATGTGGTCCAATTACCTCGGCTTTTCAGAAGCAAAGCACAGGCCCAGAAAAGCTAATGCACAGAGACACAGGACTTACTCTCAGAACAGGCAACGCAAAGGACTGTGAAGTGTAATTCATCCTTTCCGTTATATATTTTATGATTGGAATAAGTAAGTACTATAATATTTAAGCAGTTATTGTAAAACATTTATGGATTTACAAACTGCAATATCATTATGAATTGTATTATAAAGATAAGTAGTATATTATTAATTACTTCAGTTACTGAAATGGCCCTTTCAACCCAGCCCTGACATTTGTCAGAAAAGGCTGCATGACATATCAGGACTTAGAACTCTCAGTCCCAAAGTTATAAAAATTCAAATGATATGGCTGTCTGGGTCACTGAGAAGCCAGCTCACTTAAAGGTATACAAGATAACACTACAGAAAAATAAAATCACTCACTATTTAGCTACTTACACAAAGCTTGACACCTATTTCTTAAATTAATATAGGATTCAAAAAACTAATCTGGAACTTTTATGATAACTGCTACCTTTCTTCATAGAAAGGTTTTTCATTTTCAAGCCACAGGAAAGTTTAGGACACTGAAGAATATTTCCAACAATCATTTTTCTCTGTTTAAGCCATTCTCCTTTCATTTAGCACAAAATCATTTCCATTATATCAATTCTAAAACAAACTATTGCTACACTAAGCAATTTTAAATGATAGAAACTACAAAGATACGTAAGCTTGGAAATCACTTTAGAAAAACAAAATTTTCTGGTTTCGACTTAGAAATCAAGACTAATATAAGTATATCTAACTGCAGCAATCTGAGGCAGGGAAGCAGTTCACCCTCACAAGATCCTGTATTTATTAGGAAATGTGACATTATCTCTAAGTGTGTTATCTTCTTAGTTTATATACTCGATGGCTAAAACCAAATGGGTCAGAAATGTATAGCATTAGTGAAAATAAATGGCCTAAGTAACAAATACACATGGTCATACCTAAATCTAGATTTTTTAAATTTCTTCTTGGTTATTGAGACAGGAGGTTTTTCAGAATAATGCAAACGTAATCTTATTTCAGTCTGACATGTCAACCATCCAGAATCCAGAGTCTCAACACCATCTGGTAGAGTAAATATGAAGAACAGCAATTATTATACATACTTTTTGAAACAATCCAATAAGTACAATACACAATGACAATTCTAGTTCAAATTTACATTTTAATACACTCAAGTTATATCATCACTGGTACTTCTCTCCAAAGCAAATACACACACAGTCTTAAATTTGTCATTGAGAAGAGCTTTTACATGAAGTAGGGGGGAAAAAGTTAAATGAATGTTAACAATTAGCCATACTTTAACAACCTAAGTAAATTAAAATATTCTTACTGAATCCATTATTGAAGTAACACAAACCCATTTCAGAAAGAATACATGTCCCAAGATGGCTTCTAACCTAGCAGTTGTTTCACTGGGGATCACTATTATACTTCCAAAACCTCACATGAGATAATTCAGAGGAAACTAGTTACACCACTAGTGTGAGAGGTTGAGATACAAGAAAGAAAGAACAAAACTGTGAGTCAATTCTGTATTCTCACATTTATATATTCTATAAATAAACTGCACAACTGTAATAACACTGTGTTAGCATTGTTTAACTTGAAGTTTCCTACCAGCGTAGGTAATAAAATTTTCATAAATATTGGAGAGCTGTCAACTGTTTTGAATCTGTTTCATCAACAGGACTTAAAAAAAAAAAATCAAGAAACTTTTCTCCTTAGCTATAACTTAAAAACGTTTAATAACTATAAGATTTTAAAAATACAGAGAAGCCACTATCATCTCTTAATTTTAAACTGTTTTCAGAAATGGACAAAATTGGAGAAATGGCTTTCTATCCTGAAAGCTAATGAATGCTGAATTTAGGATGACAACAACAAAAAATGAAGAAAGAAATGCCATGCGTTTATAACCATGCACAGTAATTAACACAAAATAGAGGGATATAATATCACGCATTACAGTTGAAGAAATGAGAAAACTACTCCTCCATAAAGAAACCTCTTCAAAACATGAGCATAAATATCATCTTTTGTAAATAAAGACGACAAGATTCTAAAACACTTAACACTAAAGTTATTCAAGTATTTTAGACTACCTCATGATGTAATATTAATAATCCCAAACAAAATCAAGAAAAAGAAGTTAAACTCCTATCAAAATACTGTCGAAGCAAGTACATTTCTAAAGTACACAAACATATCGACTAAGACCACAACTAAAACATTCAGGCCCTGTTCCTGTACACTTGACAGGAAAGCAAACTGGTTATCAAGCAGTTTATCTCGGCAGCTTGCACAGTCAGTTCAAGCACACATTCTGCCCACCTGCTTTACACCTTTTGACTCCTAAGGTAAAAAAGTATCTAAAATGAAAATGCAGTTTAAAACCGCAAGATAACACTGATACACTGTGAGAATTCCTGTCATCCAAGAAAACTTGAATCCTCAAGATAAAATATTTACTGAAGCAGAAAAGTATACGAATGCGTAACATTTTCAACATATTCAGAAGTGAAAGGATTTTCTACTCTACTGTAAATTGTGTTAAAGACTCAGCCAGAATTACTAGAACATTCTGCCTCATCTGGATTTTACTATAAATACATATACAAAGCACAAAATACACAAACTTAGCTTAAGAGTAAAATCTCACACTTTAAATGCTTAAAACTATTCATATCATTTTCAAACATAATAGCATTAAAAAGTGATATATTAACAGTTAAATACAATATTTTTAAATTAACTATATTAACTCACACGCCTGAAATCAACAGTCAAATGAAAACCAAAAGGATACAATTTTAAAGCGTAAGAATTATATTGGAAACTAATATTTAACAGAATGTATTTTTTTCTTGGTAATCTAGTTTCTATTTTCAATATCATTCTGTCATATTTCCCTGCGCTGTTTCTAATGAAATGTAAGGTAACGTCTCAATCATATCAGTAAAGATTTTCAAAACTCAGTCTCACTTACTGTGAATTCCAAATTGTCCATCGTCAATAATAATTTCGCTTTCTAGAAATGAACGAAAATAGAAAACCTAGTTAAAATTCATGATGTACACAGAATGAACAATTGAGAAACTACCCACCTTAAGGATTTTTTAAAAATATTAAATCTAAAATTTAAAAGCAGCCCAAAGTGAATAAGCATATTTATTGTAGCCCTCAATAAAGAATTTCCTTTTAAGGAGGCTATCGAACAGTAAGAGTTCTTACATACTTGGTGATTATTCACAATGTTACAAGGAAGAGAGAGAAAACTCCTCGGAAAGGTGCTCTAGAGGCACTGGGACAAACTTCTACACCTACCAATGTGTGAGACTGACAGGCTGCTGGACAACAATAGCTCCTGGTTGATTTTTCAAACCAAAGGTCTTGGCACAATTAAAATGCTTATTCTTACGCGTGCATATTCTGAACTTATCTAAAATGTAATTCTCCCTGAATCCCAACTATTCTCTACAGCCAGCTAAGAGCTTTCCAAACAGCATAAACTTACCTGTGCATACAGAGCTGTGAGGAACTACCAAAACAAGAGTAAGTGCTAGCACATTCCCTTCTAACAGAAAGGTCAACTGAAGAAAAGCTGGTAAGCCCCACCCTCTGACTAAAACACTAATTACCTTCCCTAACACTTCCTTGCGCAGTTTACTTCAAACTAAGTCTAAAATATTTGTCAAAAGAAGTGTGACAGTTCCCAATAAAGATTCTCTGGTAGATTTCACACAGCTCTTAAGTTTAGAAGTTATATTTTCCAAAAGTATAAAATAAATTTCTTTTTAAAAGACCAGAAACAAAATCATCCCACTTCTCACAATAAGAAAACATATTTAACTGCAAGACGCTTCCAAATGCAAATTATTTTTTAAATGTTTAATACCTAATAATTTCCAACCTCAGTATGGGACTGTTATAATTCTAGAGTACACTACCATAAAAATTCTAAATGTACTACCAAAAATGTACTAAAACATATAAAAAGAAAATCCAATAAAGAGGATGGAAGGAGATATCTGTTTAAACAAGATGTGCCCTTGCTAAGGGGTAAAGTAGAATTTCTCACTACTTTCTAACCCAAGCTACTAACTAGCAAGATATTTATCATCTTTAAATTCTAATTTTCTCTGAAAAGTAAAAGATACATTTCTCAGCACTGAGTCAATTTACAGATGAATCCAGCGGGTAATTTAATGTTTGTGAAATGAACTTCAAATTTTAATCTCAGTATGGAAAAGAAAACTAAAAAATACTAGTATGAAGAGAAATGCCATTTTTAGGCACAAGAAAACAGTAACGTTTTAAAAAAAAACCTATCTGAATATCAATTTTAACACAGCCAGCAGGGTAGTTAGGTAAATTAGGAGGAAAATACGTCTGCTACAACCAAGAAATTTGAATTCATTCATATAAGTTTATTTAAGGAATTACTACTTTAAAAGAAACACACAGAATAAATAGAATAGTCTATTATCTTACTATTCAATGTTAAAAATTTAAGAATCTTTGTTTTGGATTAATTCTTTCCTCAAATATTCTCTAAGTTCTCTGAGCAAGTAAAGCCATGGGTGCTCAGTCAAAAAGAATGTTATTTTATACACTTTGTAACTACTCCAAATGAAAAGAAATTCCACAATAATTTAATCTAACCCAAGAAAATAAAAATAATTAGGCAAGCATTTCTAATACAGTTTATAAAGAAAAGCAATTAAGAACTGTTTAGTTTTGGAAGTAAGATCCATGATACACTAAGTGAAATCTCTAATACTGACAATGCATTGACCTTAAACTTGAGAATAAAAATGTATTAAATCCCACTAAGCCATTGTGCAGCATATTAGTAACTTTATGCATATGCCTCAAACAGATGCAGTAATGCCCATACCTAAAGGGGTTATTGATCGTGGTTGTAGATGAGTCTCCCACTTGTGAACTATGACTTGACATGGACCACCGATAGTCTGCAATTTAAAAGTTACACGTCTGCAATAATTTCTTATATCTTATTTTCTACCCATGACTCCATTAGATGTTTGTGGCCTAAGTCTTATACTAAATATGAAACCAAGAGATTCATCTTGTTAATTATCAATACTATATGTCAAAAATCAGGAATGTACCAGGTCACAAAACATGATGAGTGCTGGAAGAAAATGAGAGGCAGTAAACAAAAATGAGATGAACTGGCACACAAAACCATCTTAAATCCATTCTTAAATCTGCCTACAATACTTAATTTTTTTCAAAGAAATTTTAATCTTTGATATTCTGTCCTAAGTTAAAGTTAACACCAAATATACTTTATGTTTGTTATGTCAGTAGTCAACGAGGTTTTACTGGATGAAGTATCCATCTTAAGTACTCTCCAAGTGTTTGGAAAAGCCTAAACTCTAAGATAGTAAGAACACCAGGAACAAGTACTTCAAGAAGAATTAGCAAGGAACTAGAGAGCGTAATAAAGTTCCTTATTATATATATTTAAGAAGAGTTAAGTAGACAACAGGAGAACATCATATTTCTCATATCATAGTAACCAGTGTTTCTAAAGAGTGCAGGAAACCCTAAAAGAAAGGACAAGTTTGAAGAACAAGTTTGATAAAATGGGAACTAACATCCAGTTTTACTCTTATGCTTTAGAGCTTATAAATCCATACAGTGTGACAATTCCTAACACTGTCTTCTGCTGTCAAGTTCTCTAACTAAAAAAGAAAATAAAGCTTTATGTGTTGTTGATAACATTTACAGCAATTTAAAAACAAGAATGAACTACCACCAGAGAGTCCCTGCGTACGGCAAAGGACCGAAGTATTAAATGCTTTCTCGTTTTCCTTTAATTATTAAAACAATAAAAACTTGACTAATTAAACTTATGTACCAAAATAAAACCCTTAAATACACATTTTCAAAGCAAAGTTTCAAACTGTAACCTTATAAGGTATTTTAATTTTTTCTTCTTTACTTGTCTTCTGAAGAAATTGAGTAAAATACAGAGAAGCAAAAAGAAAAAACAAACATCACCCATTATCACACCACTTAGAGATAATCACTTGCAACATTTTCATACATAATCTTCAAGTCCTTTTCTTGGTGTATATTATATATACACTTAAAAAGCCTGGAACATATAAGCTTATCTCTATATATTGCACATCTTTAGATGTTATTAAATACTCTTCTATAACATTTTACAGGATTTCAGTATTGATTCTATTTAATAATAAATGTGCCAAACGATAAAAAATAAGTATGTGACAAACTAGGTACATTATTAAGTAATGTACATTAAGTAATTAAACACAAGAGATAATTCTGTCACTTCAAACAACCAGAGGTTAAAATGGTTTTCAAAATATGCAAACTTTTGAAGTTTGAAAACTAAAATAACATTATTCATTCAAATCATTAATCCTGGGTAATACAGGAAATGTTTATTTTCTCTAGTTGAATACTTCCTTGTTATAAGGGTTCACTTATAAATTGGTAGACTGGGAAAATGTGTTAAAAAATGTAAATGTGAAACTGCTCGTGTTAAAATATGGTGAATTTCATTTCTGTGACACTAAAAAAGACGATACATTTAATTCTACATCCGCTAGATGTCTTCTACTACAACTTCTTCCTGTCACATTCTCCTAAATTTGTTTTTTAATCATTAAACTTTCTAATCCTCAAAAGATGCAAATATATACATTAAAAATAGGAACAATGTTTCTTTTTTCTTTTTTTTAAGCCTGGAAATTGATGGTATAGTTAATCTGCATGTTTAAGATTTTAATGAATAAATAATTTACAAAGCTGTGAGCAGAGTTAAGCGACAGAATACCACAGCAGTAAACCCCATACTTCCTTTAAATGCAGTTTAAAATTGCATTTTAAAATTCTTCTAAGATTTCAAAATTAAATATATTATAATTATGCATAAAAAAATAAATGAAATAAAATGCTAGGAATCATGTAGCTTAGCAATAAGCAGCCAGAGAGAACTCATCTATTCCCTTTCTCTACTCCTCCCAAGTCCTCAGCATTTCTCCCTCCCCCCTAAAAAATCCTCTTTGCTACAAAGATGATAGGAATCTACACTATTATAAAAGTTACTAATCAAAGGTGATTTGAAAAGGTGCTATGAATATAATAGTAAATGTTAGGAGGGATAAAAGGTGAGTAGAGGAAAGGAGAGAGTTTGTTTTTGTTTTAATTCAGGTTGTCAGGGGAACTTTACAAAGTGTTGAATGCAGTATCTGTACTTAATCATGTAAGACTAGCCCTGTGGATTAAATATTTGATAGGGAACATATTTTAGAAGCAATTTTAATAACTCCACCCTCATCTGTTTTAGTAACAAACCCACCAGTCAAAGCATAAAACCACCTAGGTTTGAACAGAATGTTGTATTTGAGGAGCAGTCCAAACGGCCGGTTCAACAGATGAATTAAAATTGTGTCTATTAGCATTCACACTAAAAATCCATGTTGGTTGGTACATGAAGTGTTATAATATTAAAGATTTTATTTTTCCCTTTTTTCTCCCCAAAACCCCCCGGTACACAGTTGTTTATTCTTAGTTGTGGGTCCTTCTAGTTGTGGCATGTGGGACGCCGCCTCAGCGTGGTTTGATGAGCAGTGCCATGTCCGCGCCCAGGATTCGAACTGACGAAACCCTGGGCCGCCTGCAGCGGAGCGCTGGAACTTGACCACTCGGCCACGGGGCCAGCCCCGAAGTGTTATAATATTTAAAAAAAAAAAAAATGAACCAAGTTTTAAAATATATTGACTTTCCAAAACTGTTATGTCTACTTTATTAAACTTTAGAAGGTAATCTTAAATTTTAGCTTACTGAAGTTCTTTTAAAAAAAAGAAACAAAAACAATTTAAAATATTAAACACTTGAGCACTGAGAAATTAAAAATCTGTGGTGACTCCAAAATATGCAATCTTTTTTAATATGCCAAATGTCATAACTCATTCTTCAAGATCTTAGAAAAAAAGAATAGTTCCTTTCTGTAAAGGCTGCCACAGTTTTAAGCATTTTGGAGTCAAGTGGAAGGTGGATCTTTGGAGAAAAAAGTAACAACATCAGTATAAGACAGTATTCCATTAGCAATACTGGCAGAATTATTTCACAATTTAGCACACATTAAATCAGATGATTGCTGGAATGTATTAACAAAATACAAAAAAAGAATCTATGTTTCCGCAAAAAAAAAAAAAAAAACCAACCACCAAACAGTCATAATAACTGTTTTCTTAAACAGTTACCGACATAGCTCAGCTACATCAAGCACTGGGAGAAGTAAACAGAATTACCCGACATGCAGACTAGGTTTTTTGTGTTTTTTCTTTTTTTTTTTTTTAACAAAACACCAAGCAAAATTATCAACTAGTCATGTAGTATCACTGCTTTCAAATATCATGAAAAATGTAAATGTGAACTTTTAAAATTTTAATGATTGTTTTCTTTCCACAATTTTGAAAAAATGTGCCTGTGAAAGGGGTTCTGAGGAATTTTTATCTATGATGTCAGAGACCAGGCATACAGTTATTTAAAAATCACTACTTTTAAAAAGACTGATGTGAAAAATGGTCTAGGAATGAGTAAAGTGAAGAAAACTAGGCCATCAGACATCTCTGAGATGGTTCAGATTTGAAGGTAACAGCTGAGGATATTTGGCCTCCAGAAGAATTTTACTATATTAAGAAACCACCATACAAAATGACAACCTAGGCATTCTGAAAATAAACGATTATCTGCCTATCACAGATGATGATTCTTTTGTTAAGAGATTTAAATGAAAATCAAGGGAGATTAAAAAGTAATTTACAAAGTAACAGTCTGTAAAGAATCTAACAATGAATGAATATTAACACCTAGAACAATTAGAAACCAACATGTTACTAAAAAATAAGGAGTTATTTCCACTGAAATGAAGGAAAAAATTCAAAAACAATATAATTAAAAACTGGCTAACATTTCAGTATGAAGTAACAGCCCTAATTCCAGCCACAAGAGGGCAGACGTGAATTTAAAAATGTTTAAATTACATATTAATTCAAAAATTATCTTTGGTGAAGATGTGAAATTAGTGGACTATCTGCAGACTCACACCAATGTTTTCATTCCAGGAATATCTACTATCTTCGTTTGCTATGTTTAAATAAGATAACATGTTGATTTGTCACCTGTAAAATTATTTAAAATTCAACATATTAACACTTTATTCTAATTCTACAAAGTATAAGAGAACACGTAGCTGTGAAAAATTAAGAGAAAAATGCTTTCAGGACTCTTAACTTCTAAACTAAAAGGAATATGCCAGAAAAAATAAAATATGGAAGAGAAAATATGAATGTAAAATTTTATTTATTTACAATAAAATTTTAGCAATGGAAGGGACCTAAGAAATCTATAGTTCAAACTCCTCATTTCATAGATGAGAAAGCTGAAGTCTGAGGGTCAAGTGACAAGACGACAAAATTTTTCGCTTAAGTTCTACAACTGCTTGGGTCAACTAGCTCCTAAAACTTTCGGCCCAGGAAAATTCATCTTATTACTCATTTCAGCTTTTCAATGCTTTCATAATTACTTTGCTTTCCTATCATTCTTTATATTCACAAAATATATATTCCAATAATTTACATCATTTCACAATTTAAGATTCCTTGTACATTAGTTCTGTCATTTGACAATGCACAATTGAGACAAAGTTTCATAATTACTTCTCTGAAAAATTGTTCCACTTAAAAAGCGCCACCAACTTTTAAAAGAAAAGAAGTGTTACTTTAAGCTGGCATGTGGGGAAAGAAAAAAAACCTCTAGTCATACCCATGGAGTTTTATGTAGCTATTTACTCTATTCCATGAAAAACATACTTACCATGGCAGCCCCTGCATCACACGGTACATGTGTACGCGATACAGAGCACCTACTCAAAGAAACACACTCACCAACACATACTGTAAACTTTTGCAAGTATTACAAGGGGAAAAACTTGTTTGTTACTGTAAGCAGACTTCTTGCCAATTTTTTCAAAAAGGCATTTTGGACTGATTTGCTGCTTTTGGTTACATTTTCAATGAAGAGTAAAAATACTATAGGTTGGCTTAATTTGACCTGTGTTGACAATAGTCTTACTTTAGGAAACTATGTCCAAAGGACTCATGATTTTTCTTGTCCAAATGCCCCTTTAAGTAAAATTTGGTTGACTTCACAAGTTAGCAGGTTAAGGTTCACATACCAGAATCCTCAAATAAGCTTTCAATATTATGAGTGCTATGACCTACATATCTACACACAATTGTTCAATTTATACTGAAAACCGCTGCCACAACATATGACCTCTCCGCCAAATAAATGATCTTTTCTTAAGTCATTAAAGTGAGACTACTGTCAAGATAAGCCAACACAATGATCAACCATAATGAAATTTAAGTTTAATTACTGAGTATTTATAATATATTCTTGGATTAAGAAACGTAATAAGTGCAAAAGACAGCTGAAGTGGGTTTGTCAGTTTTTTCTTTTTTATAATGGTGGCTAAGAGAATGACGTAACAGTGGCTGCTTGCATTTGCACATGTAACAAGTATTCAACGACCCCAAAGAGAGAAATCTTTTAAAAAGGTCTAATGCATGTTTTGCTTCCTAGACTCCTCCCTAAGCCCTTGTTCACAGGCAGCCTAAGTGTGCTCAAAGGTAAAAATCTGAAGGAAAAGAATCCTTTCAGTAAATAAGTATCTTTAAAATTAGAGGGAAAGAATCAACTTTTTTCTTTTCTAAACATGAAAATAATCCCCAAATAGTAAATCGTTGTGAGCAAGCAGATTTAGATTTACTAGATACTCCAAAGGCCTTCAGAAAAGATCCTGGGCTATGAACACCATTGGTGAAAAAAATCCAAGAATGACTTCAGTTTTAATAGGAGTTAAACAGTGCAGCCACTAAGAGACGGCAGCAGTGAAATAAATTTTTCAAACAATTACTCACTTAAAGCTGGCTATACACTCCTCTAAATGTATTTATACCACATAAGGATTAAAAATGAAACAAAAAGAGAAACCCTTGGAACTAGTTACTAGTTTACAAAAGTTACAGAAAATGCACACCTATTGAGAACATTTATCATTGAAACCAATTTCATGATAAGAATATTGCAGAACATACTTACTATTGGTCTTTTAAAAAATTCCATTGCAGACACTGTCTGCCTCTGAGGTGGCCACTTCCTTGCTTTTTGGTACTAAAATGTTACTAACCTAGAGTTCTATTTTCCTTATTCAATCAAAACAAACTCATTTTACTTTTAATGTTTTCAAACCTAAGTTAGTTGCTTTTGAAAGAAGTGAGTTTACTAAAGAAACTGGAAACTAGATAAAGAAAACATACCTTTGGTTCTAAAAAGCACCCTTTGAAGTAGCGATACTGAACAGATACTCCTCTACTGAGTACAATGGTAGCTTTCCATAACATGCTGTGAGGAAAAAAAGTAAAGCAGCAGCATCAATATCAAACTGAAATGCACAAGGACTTCATAATTCATAAAACCCCTCAAGCAAGGTCTGTGACCAATACCAGTTATTTATTCATACACAAAATTTTCCTCGAGGCCTAATCTGCACCGGGGAATGGGAACGCAGTGATGAACAAGGCAGAAAGAGCTCCATCTTCAAGACCGCTTTCTTGTGTGGGAAGACAAGCTAATAACCACACAACATACACAGCAGAGCTATCTGACCTTTCTGATGCGATGGGAAGTTTTGGAGGAGTCTTCTGGAGTGGAAGCCTCAATGAGGAAGAACTATCTGAGCTGAGACCTAAGTGATGGCAAGGAACCAGCCATGCAAAGAGCCAAGAGAAGTATTCCAAACAGAAGCAGCAAGTAGCGCAAAAGTGGAAGCCAGAGTCAGAATCTTCTCTGACTTCACACTTAGCAAGGGATGTAACATGGCTGCTAAAGGCTTTGGGGCCAAGGCTGGCAAGTTACACTCAAGTTCCCAACTGTTCCTTGTTCTAACTGTCCTGTCCAGCCTCTGGCTATTCCCCTAGCCAAGCAATCAGTATCTTATTTGTTTCAACTCAGTGTCTTCCACTGAACTACGCTATTCTAACATATTCTAATGCTATTCTAAAGCTTAGACTCAAGAGTCAAAGAATTCACTAAAATTCATGATAACTGATTTTTAGCTGCAAATTATGGACCACTGGTATCCAAAATGTGGTCCCAGGACCATTATTACCAACTTGGAGCTCTTTAGCAATGCAAATTATCAGGCCACACCTAGACCTACTGAGTTAGAAACTCTGGGGGTGGGGCCCAGCAATCAGTAATTTAACAAGCTTCTAGGTGACTCTGATGATGAACACTTCAGTTTGAGAACCACTGTCATAGACCATTACCCAACATTAATTAAGCATGAATAGTTCATGAATAGTTCAGTGATTCAGTGGCAGCTCCAAATGCTCTTCCATGATACTAGACAGCTAGCACTACTCCCCACCTGGCTCTGACAAAATAGGTTTTAGGGTGTTATTCTCACTCTGACTCAATCCTGGTTCCTAACAAAAGATCCAGAACTGGCTGTCACCCATGGTCCTAGCTTCAACAATCAGATTAACCTGGTATGCCCTGGCTCCACTCTGAGAGACTCTGATGTCACAGGCCTGGGCTGGAGTCTGATACAACCTCACGGGGCATCCAGATGTACTGTACGTGGCTGGTGGGGAATCACAGCTGCAAAGCAAGGACAGCAGAGGCTTGGCACATGTGCCCCTACTGCTTTTCCTTGATAAGCCTCAGAATCCTCTTCAACACAGGGCTCCAGATAGACTCTACTAACTCTGAGGTGAAACTTATTTCCCATCTCTGCTACCAAAAAAATGGTAAATTTCCAATACTATTTCATCTAGAAAACAGTCTAGCAGAGTATGTGAAACTGGCCCCAGATGTGCACAGAATTAGTGGGAAGCTTTGAAAAACACGCTGGGGCCTCTCTCTCATGCACTATTTCTCAGTCTCCAGCAGGAGAGTCTACTAGGCATGTGTATTTTTTTAAAGCGCTCATAAGTGATTCTAACGTGCACCCCTGGTTAAGAACCACTAAACGAAGAGATGCAGAGAGCAAAGCAACGAGTCTTTCTTAATCCACTTCTCTAAGCAAACGCAGCAAAGTTAAAAATGAAGCAGAAGTGTTCAGTGAGGTCAAGAATGAACAAAACCTGCTAAGATTTAAGAAAAAAGAGGAAGGAGGGGCAGTGAGATTTACTGCACTGCCTGATTTTGAATCGCCTTCATATCTTTCCCCAAAATACCATAAAATCTACAGGGGGGGCAAATAAAAGCAGAAATGACCCACATATTCTGCATTAGGAAACAATACCACAATCTTCAAATTATCTATAAGTAGAAAGAAAGATCCAACAGAGCTCTTGTCATCACAAGCCCATAGGTATGGAGAGGCTTCAGAGACTCGGTGAAAAAGAGGCACAGAGGACCCAGATGCAGAGCACACTGAAATCCCAAAGAAACACAATTCTAAAACACGAGAATGTTGACCAAGGGCAGATTTGTTTGCCTTTTGTCTCATCTACTTCCTTTCTCCTTGTGGAGCACTGTTTATCTGCCATATATGAATCAGGGATATTTCAGTGTACATCAGCAATGTAAAAGTGGCGGGCCCCTAAGGTCAAGTAGTTAAGTTTTATCTCATTCTGTTCACATCACTTTGACCAGGTTGGCTGAAATGGACTTCAGACAGGTGACAGGGCAGCTCAAGAGTTCAGAGCAGAGGTCTGTTTTAGGAACAAGTTCAGAAAGACATGAGGTTTCACTTCAGACAGGAGTGGCTGATCTGAAAATCAAGGAAAAGATAGCCATTTGAAGGGAATAAAAATCTCATTCCTCCATGATCCCACTATCATTTATCTATAGAACTTTACTTATAAAAAAAGATGAGAATTGGCTGAGAAAATGTGTCACACTAATGACAAATGTGCAAAAGGGAGTTCCATGAACGTTTCTTGTTGGTTTTCTTTTCCTTAGCCCACATCATGGCACAGTTTTGCTTGTCTTGTTGTCCTTGGCTTTGCCATCAGTACTCCTCAAACCATCTGCTGGGAAGGACCAGATTTTGTTTGCTTGCTTGTTTTACCTGACCCGTCCTGTGACCAACACTTCTGGCCCATGTACCCAGTTCAATGAGATGTGTCCACCATGACATGCATGGATATCCCACCAATGTCAAATTGCTATAAATATTTCTAAATGCTTCCTCTCAGTTTTTGTATTTCTCACATCATGCATGGAGAAAAAAGTTTTTTGTCTAGCACTGGTCCACAGCCATATGTGTAGCCATTTTTAGTAGCACTGTGCTACAGGAAAACAGAATTTGAGTTTAATAATCACCTAATCTGGTGTTTCTCGCTAGGGGCACTGCATGTATTTGTATACTATTCAGGATCTGAAGCTCTCCTTACTCCTGCCCCTCCCCACATACATCTTTTTTTTGAGGAAGATTAGCCCTGAGCTAACTCCTGCCAATTCTCCTCTTCTCGCTGAGCAAGACTGGCCCTGAGCTAACATCCGTGCCCATTTTCCTCTACGTTATATGTGGGACGCCTACCAAAACATGGCGTGCCAGGCAGTGCCATGTTCGCACCTGAGATCCAAATTGGCGAACCCCAGGCCACCAAAGCAGAACGTGCGCACTTAACCGCTGCACCACCAGGCCAACCCCCCCACATACATCTTGACAACCCATAACACTTCCAAATATCCCCAAGTGGAGCAGTACCACCTTTGCTGACATTCACTGATTCTATCCTACCCCTTTACCGAGTAGATGAGCTAACCGAGGCCTAGAGGTGTTCGATCTGCTCAAGATCACGGTTAACTGCAGAACTGAAATCGGCACCCAGATCCTCCTTTCCTCAGCACAATGCACCAACACATCCATGCTAAGTTTAGTGCTGTACTTAATGTCCGCAGTGAACTCACTTAACTACTTTAGCTAAGATATCTTAGAGTGTATTCCACTCTCTGCTACTTTTTTATTTTCACTCTCTGCTACTTTTATTTATTTATGTTTTTTAAAGATTGGCACCTGAGCTAACAACTGTTGCCAATCTTTTATTTTTTTTTCCTGCTTTTTCTCCCCAAATCCCCCAAGTACATAGTTGTATATTTTAGTTGTGGGTCCTTCTAGTTGTGGCATGTGGTACACCACCTCAACATGGCCTAATGAGCAGTGCCATGTCCACACCCAGGATCCAAACTGGCGAAACCCTGGGCCGCCGAAGCAGAGCACACGAACTTAACCACTAGGCCACGGGACAGGCCCCCTCTGCTACTTTTAATAAACACTATGTAGATCTCCAGAATATTATTTTATAGGCTAAAGCAAAAATAAGATCTTTTATTAAGAATATGTACTGAGAAGTCAAAAGATAATGCCTCAAAGTTGTTTTTTTCTTAAATGAGATATACCAATGTAAGCCTGTTATTTAGAAATACGTTGGTAAACACCAAAAGAACCAGCTAAGAGTTGAAAATGTGTGTGAGAGTTGGAAATTGAGGAAGACAGAAACTTGTTTCCCCACAACTAATTTTGTAAAACTATTTCACTCTTTACGCACATGTGTTAACTGTGATAAAAACTAAAACTAAAAGAAGAAAACTGTATCAAGTTATCTTAGAATCCCCCACACTTATAATCTGAGTGTCACAATGAGTCTGTAACCTGACATTCCCATGCTTACCTTTCACCTGTCTCATTCTCTGGAAGAAGAGCCACGGCATTTTGAGGCCTCCAGTTCCCCAAAGCATCACAGCTTCCACATATTGCAAAAACTTCTCCTGAGGAAACAGAACAACCAGTTACAGCGGGACAAGTAGGAGCGTTTCAGATTTTAGTTCTAGGAAGCAAGAAAAGAGCAGTCAATTGCATTAGTTCAGTTGGAAGCAGAGTCCCCTGTAGCAGAGATGGAGGAATCTCACTAGAGATGTGGGTTTGGACCCAGGTACCATACTTAGCCCCCGCGTTATTAACTTGACCCACTTTTACAGAGCTAAAGCTAGAGTAAGGAGGGATGTGGAGGGATGGACTTTTCTTCATTTGTTCAACTACTTATTGAACCAATAGCAAGCACCAAGAAGACAAAGTGATCAAACCACAGTCCCTGCCCTCAAGGCAGCTTCCAATTTAAAGGGGCAAAATGCTAAATGCGCATAAGTATTCTAGAGACATAGTAACTGATGTTTTCCAGGAACTCAAACAGGAGCTATTAATAAGCTAAAGATCAAGAAAATTATCATTGGGACAGAAGCAATATAACAACAACAAAAACAGTCCCCCAAACAAAGACTTATATAGTTAAAAACCTAGTATTCCCTAGTAAAATAATGACTATCATTTCATCTGAACACTTCTCATCAATAGACAAACCAACATATAAATGTCACCTACATTTGCTAAATTTTGTATATTTAGCAAGTCTACAACTTCTTGGATATAAGAATGCAGAAGTCTTTGACTTATATATCAACACATCCTGAATTACTATAATTAATATTCATAAAGAAAAAGATAACAAACTGAGCCCAAATGAACAAAGTTCAAGACAAACTTCTCCACATTCCGAGAGTGGCTTGCCTTCCAAGCTTTAGGCACTACTTTAGCAAGACTAGAATTATAGTTGGCTTTGGCCACCTGCATGAGCATTTTGTAAGCATGGACTGTCTAAAACTTAATCAAAATCCAAGTGTGGTAGTCATTCAGGAGCTTTCAGGGTTCTAAATACATGCGTGTGAAGCATAGGGTGATTATATAGACAAATTTCACGTCAAAATACTCACCAATCCTTTAAAGTAACCACATTTTTTTTGCAATAACTTGTTATCACTATGTTTTCTGATTTTAAAAAAAGGATAAACACTGTCACTATACAAGGCACAAATATTCATTCCCAAGGTGTTGCTATGCATATGTATAGCATATATTATGGCTCTCAGCTCAAAGTAGATTACCATAAAATCACTAATTTGGGCCCATTGTGGAGTCTCACTAAAACTTTTTCATGGAGTCAATTATTTCTTATCCACAAATAAAACAGCAGTTACTCTTTGCTCCAGAAAGAATATGTACCCCACAGGGAGGAGAGTGAAAGGGGTGACTGGGCACGTGTGTATGGTGACGCATGGTAATTAGTCTCTGGGTATTAAACACGATGTAGTATACATGGAAATTGAAATATAATGATGTACACCTTAAACTTATATAATGTTATAAACCAATGTTACCTCACTAAAAAAAATAAATATTAATTTTTTTAAAAAAGAACAGGTACCCCGAATGGAAAAAGTGAAACTTGGACAATGGGTGGTTCACTTTTCTCCTCTAAGTGCTCCTGTCTTTTAACAATTCCCTCCTGCAATGTTACTTTGTCTTCCTGCTGACTGCCTTTGAATATGGCTTCTATGAGGGAAAAAAGGGAAACTTCCTACTAGAACAAACAGATCTTTCTTTAATTGGCTTTTATTTATAAAAGATTATAAAGACTTGAATGATAACTAAACGGATGTGCAAATAGCACCCCCACATATTCTTTTGACTTGTTCCATCTAATGTCACCCCACTCTGCACTCCCTACTCTCTCCACATTTAGCAGAGAACACTTCCTCCTGCTTTGCTGAGGAAATCAAGGGGTGGAGGGAAGTCCCCCCTCACATCCCCTCCCTGTCTCTCTACCTCCTCTCCTTCCCACCTACAGATTCATCTACATTCACATCCACCATTATCTTCCCTCTGGTCCCTGAGAATGAGAGTTCCCCTTGTCAAGCTGACCGTTCTGTGGCTAATTGTGTGGTCAGCCCATTTGTCTGACATGGCCAGCTCCTTCTAGTTTAAATTGCCGGTGTACAACTCCCAAAAAGGGTACAATATAGTTGTGCAGTCTCCCATCCACAGAAGAGGCTGCACACTGGACTGGAGGTGAGCACCTGACCCAAGGGAGCCAACCCACCAGCTGACTAGCAATCTTCAATCTGCAGAATCTTGCCCAGACATGGAACTATTCCAGAGCATCTTGGCTAAGAATTTGAACTTGGATACACACACATTCTGTCAACTGCTGTGATGGCTGCTAGAACAAAGATGCTGCTGGATATAGAGTGAATCATTCGTTCATTCTTTGAACACATATTTACCCCTGCTCTGAGTCAAGCATTGTCCTGGGTGCAGAAATTCAGCATAAACAAGACAAAGTCCATGTTTTCACAGAGCTTACGATCTATCCACAAATAAAATTACTCAAATAATTCCATAAAGCCTGTAAGAGGTGCTCCAAAAAGTCTCAGAACCTTGAATTTCACAGGGACTCTAACCTAGTTGAATGTGGGAGGTGGAGCAATGGAGGGAGAAGGGCACAGAATCAGGCAGAGGAAACAATTTGAGTGAGTCCCAAAGGAGGGAAAGACTGCAGCAGATCTGAGGAATGGGCCAGTACAGCCAGAGTATATTTAACAAGGAGGTACATAACCCAGGTGTGATCCTGTTTCATTTTGCTTTTGATGAGAAAGACTGGCCCTGAGTTAACATCTGTGCCAGTCTTCCTCTATTTTGTATGTGGAATGCCACCACAGCATCACTTGGTGAGCGGAGTGTAGGTCTGCACCCAGGATCTGAACTAGTGAATCCAGCCACTGAAGCAAAGTGTGTGAACTTAACCACTATGCCACCAGGCCAGCCCTCAGGTGTGATACTGTTTTGATATGCTATTTTACACTAAAATTATTTCACACTGCTTTAGTAGACAGCAAAAAATACGATGAAGATAAAAAAAATATTTACAAGTAGGGGACAAAGTTATTTTAGGCAAATATTTCACCAACTTTTTGCACTAGCAAAACTTCCCTTTTTCTTTTGGTTTTTTTTGCTGAGGAAGATTTGCCCTAAACTAAGATCCGTTGCCAATCTTCCTCTTTTGTGCTTGAGGAAGATTTGCCCTGAGCTAACATCTGTGCCAGTCTTCCTCTATTTCATATGTCGGTTGCCACCACAGCATGGCTGCTGACAAGTGGTGTAGGTCTGTGTCTGGGAATCGAATCCAGGCCAGTGAAGCACACTGAACTTAACTACTAGGCCATGGGCCCAGTCCTCATTTTCACACTACTTAAAAATCATAGCCCAACTATCTCTGTCCTGTGCAAAATTAAATAAATTCACAGCTTTCTTGGAAGACACTATTAGGGAGGTATTTTTTTTCTTGAGTTTACTGTGCTCTAAGCATATTTCTGATATTGGGAAAGCTCTAAAAAAAATTTTCATCTAAAAATCAGGCCCACTCTAATAACAACTTCATATTTAAGTTACTCCAGATAAGAAAAATGCTCATTTAATTTAAAAAATTATTTTAAAAGTAAAACTTTACCATACATCTATGGACAGTTAATCTTTGACAAAGGAGCCAAGAACATACAATGGACAAAGGAAAGTTTCTTCAATATACAGCGTTGGGAAAATTGGACAGGTACGTGCAAAAGAATGAAAGTAGACCATTATCTTTCACCATACACAAAAATTAACTCTAAATGGATTAAAGATGTGAATCTAAGAACTGAAACTATAAAAAATCTAGAAGAAAATATAGGCAGTACACTCTCTGACATTGGTCTTAGCCATATCTTTTCAAATACCACGTCTTCTAGGATAACGGAAACTAAAGAAAAAGTTAACAAATGGAACAACATCAGACTAAAAAGCTTCTGCAAAGCAAAGGAAACCATGAACAAAATGGAAAGACAACCCACTAACTGGGAGGAAATATTTGCAAACCATTTATCAGACAAGGGGTTGATCTCCAAAGTATATAAAGAATTCACACAACTCAATAACAACAAAAAACAACCCAATCAAAAAATGGGCAGAAGATATGAAGAGACACTTTTCCAAGGAAGATATACTGACGGCCAACAGACACATGAAAAGATGCTCAACATCACTAATCATTAGGGAAATGCAAATCAAAACTACAATGAGATATCACCTTATACCAGTCAGAATGGCTATAATTACCAAGACAAAAAACAGTAAATGTTGGAGAGGATGTGGAGAAAAGGGAACACACATACACCACTGGTGGGAATGCAAACTGGTGCAGCCACTATGGAAAACAGTATGGAGATTCCTCAAAAAACTAAAAACAGAAATACCATATGACCCAGCTATCCCACTACTGGGTATCTACCCAAACAACTTGAAATCAACAATCCAAAGTAACATGTGCACCCCTATGTTCATTGCAGCACTATTCACAATAGCCAAGACATGGAAACAATCCAAATGCCCATCATCCAATGATTGGATAAAGAAAATGTGGTGTGTGTATACATATGTATACACACACACACACAATGGAATACTACTCAGCCCATAAAAAAAAGACAAAATCATCCCATTTGCAACAATATGGATGGACCTGGAGGGTATTATGCTAAGCAAATAAACCAGATGGAGAAAGACAAACACCATATGATTTCACCCACATGTGGAATATAAACAAACACATGGACAAAGAAAACAGTTCAGTCGTTACCGGGGGAGGGAGATGGGGGGAGGGCACAGGGAGTAAAGGGGAGCACTTGTGTGGTGACAGACAAAAAATACATACAACTGAAATTTCACAACTATGTAAATTATTATGAACTCAATAAAATAAATAAAATAAATAAAATAAAAGTAAAACTTTACAATACCTGGTAAAAGTGTTCCTCTTATTTCAAAGGTAACCTGAGAAGGTGTCATTCTGATAGATTTATTTTACAATGTCGTGCTAGGAAGAAAAAGAAAAGATGTCATTTACAGTACATGAAAATATCAGCTCCAGACAGCTACCACCAAGAAACAAGTTAAAAAGCAAAAAAAAACAAAAATGAATCTCAACTGTAGCAAAGATTTCAGAAACATTACATATAAAAAACCCAAAAACTACTATAGATAGAAAAAAGCTTGGCTCAAGAGAGGACTTCTACTTTAAAAAGAAGGTTTCAGGCCAGCCCAGTGGTGTAGTGGTTGGTTTCACACTTTCCGCTTCAGCAGCCAGGGGTCTGTGGGTTGATATCCCAGGTGCAGACCCATGCACCATTCATCAAGCCATGCTGTGGCAGCATCCCACATACAAAAACTAGAGGAATATTGGCACAGATGTTAGCTCAGATCCAATCTTCCTTACACACACAAAAAAGGTTTCAACTTTCATAACAAGAAAACACTCAAAGAACTTAAGCACCATCCACTGAAACAAACTAGCTGTGTTCTGCAACAGTTTGAGAATGTGCTTCTAAAGTAATGAAATGACTTAAAAAACCCTTCGCCCATAAATCACTCTTCCCGGATTTACTCTTAATTGACCACAGGACCATCACTACTCAGTTCTGTAGACTCGAATTGAGAGTCTCAACTCTGCAATCTATTACCAAATCCTGTGATTCTAATTGATCTTATATACATGCCTTTCTTTCTAAAGTTTGAACTTCACTCAAAACCCTAAGTCTTCTCCCTCTACTTTGGCTTCGAAATCTCTCCCTAATAACACATTTTATCAATTAGAATATTCTTCCTCATGTCCTCAGCTTAGAATCATTTTGGTTACTTGTAGAAATCTAAACCCCTAAGCCTGTGATGTCCTTGACCACTTATCCACATTTTCTCTCTAGCTGACTTTTCATTTCTTTCCTGTTTTTACCAGCCAAACCAACCTGTTTACCATCCCCTAATTTAAGTACCTAAGGGAAGATAGGAAATAAATTATTTTTAAAAATATACATTAAGGGGGCCGGCCCCATAGCTGAGTGGTTAAGTTCGCACGCCCCGCTTTGGCGGCCCCAGGTTTCGCCGGTGGGGAGCCTGGGCACGGACATGGCACCGCTCGTCAGACCACGTTGAGGCAGTGTCCCACATGCCACAACTAGAAGGACCCACAACTAAAATATACAACTATGTACTGGGGGGATTTGGGGAGAAAAAGCAGAAAAAAAGGAAAAAAGAAGAAAAAAAAGAAGATTGGCAACAGTTGTTAGCTCAGGTGCCAATCTTTAAAAAACATATATATATATACGTGTCAATTCTCAAGGTCATATAATTTAAATATAGAAAGAACACATACTCCACAAGAGGTTACATCATATTCTACATAACTTCTCCAATACCCCCAAAAAACTTTTGCATGCCAATCCACCAATGTTTTCAAAAGAATTCCAATCATGTCTTTACTCTGTATCATTTCCATTAATTTACCAACTTAAATTTTATTTGCATTCATACATTCATTTAAAAAAAATCCTAAAGTACTTTTCATAACTATTCATTCCTTTATTTCCTTCTGCTCCCTTCCCCTCCCATGAACATATGCACAACTCTACAAACGTCATTTAATGAAGACTAATACCCAGTTAACCACACTTCTGAGTCAAGGCAGATAGATCTATAGGAGGAGTTCTCACTGGAGGCAATTTTGCCCTCCAAGGGATAGTCGGCAATGTCAGGAGACATTTCCGTTGTCACAATTGGGGGCGAGGCTCCTGACATCTATGGAGTAGGGGCCAAAGGCGTTGCTAAACACCATACAATGCACAGAACAGCTCTCCACAAATAACTGTGCAGCTCCAAATATCAATCGGGCTGAGGCTGAGAAACCTGATCTGGAATATCTACCCACAGGGGGCTGCTATGAGGATCCAGAGTCCAGGCTCACTGTTAGCTCTAAACTACGTATCATCCCACTTACATCGATTATAAAATATAAACGTTGAATATATATATTAAGCAAGACCACCAGTCAATGTGGTTTCATGTCACTTGGATAAAGAATTCCCTATTTGGCAACTCTATCATTTCAGTTAGAAAACCCAAGACTGTACTGGAGAAAACCTGTCCTTGATCAAAATCACTTCTAAGACACCTTAATCTACTTTCTGTGTCTAAGAGTAAACATGATCTATTTAAAGTATATACATCCAGTTCTAGCACTGACAAATAAAGGTCTAAATCTAAAAATAGCTTTGGATTGTTACCCTCCCATTAACCTATCATTATCCAAACATCTTAATAGTTGTCTTTTAACAAGAGATCTGATATGAATCTGAGTATAACCCTAAGAGTACAAATATTTCGTCTAATAAGTAAAACGGTTCACTGAAGCATGGCAATCTTACATTTATCTATATTATATCAAGAGAAACCTTAAGGCTAGCAAAAAAGCTTGGCTTTTAGTTATTGAGTTAATTCTGAGACACAGCAAAAAGCCCCATCATCCAGCAAAACTGGTGAATAACCAGCTTCAGTTAATCTCAACCTATAGCTCATACTTTCACCCAGTGTTTACTGCCACAGTTCTCAACTAAGGACAATCTCGTCTACATAATTAATACTTGGTACTCAACTATTTGTTTGTCCATTTTAAAAAACTAACCAATTTTAGGGAAATCTGATGTAATTATTCCTATGTATTAACATCAACAGCTGGTATAAAACTAACTCTAAACTTCTACTGCATTAAATGGGAAACATAAATTTAATAAAAGGGAAATCAATTGATTAATAAAATCGAGGCGTTCATTCTTAAGGTTGCTTGAAAGAGCAGTACAGTAACTTGCCTGTAAACAGCTGCAGTAAATGTACTATACAAAGCTATATACGCAAGCACAAAAATATCCCCCTAAAACCTCCTCAGATGTCAACAAAGCATCACCTTCCCCAGATTGCCAAAAGTCACAGAATGTAGTTTAATTTCCACCACTCTCCCCCAATTTAATACATACCAATAAAAGCCTGCAGAGCTGCTCCTACAGCAGTCTACTTGATGGTGGAGAGAGGTCAAAATTCTGGTGCAAGATTGAAGCGCACAATTTTGGCACCCAGTTGCCACCAAACAGTAGTGACAAAACACTGTTGTGTTCTGCTGTAGAAGGCAAAATTTACATACCCAATACCACTTCCTCTTCTTCTAAAGAAGCAAAAAAAAATCCCAACTTGGGCAGGGGAGGTCTTCCAGACACACACAGAGCAAGAGTAAGATGAAAAATGCTAGTCATTTTTATGTATGTAAACTGACTGTATATGCAATTTAACCAACTCACCTATTACGTCATGTACAGGCTACGCTTCCTGAGACAGGTTTTTGGTTGTTTTATTTTTAAACATAAGCTCCATTTTTTGCTTTTTGAAGATAAATATTAAACAGCATGCTCATCTGAGATTTTCGAGTAGCATTTGACACTATTTTAACACTTTTTTAGACTCAAGCAATTAGCCAAAACATGACATTGTAATTTACACTTAAAAAATATTTCAGAGTTTACACTACCCGGTAAAACAAATTCTACTCTGTTCTTTTTGTGAAATAAATTATTCCAACACATGGCCTTACTGGTTTACCAAACTGGGGAACAAAAGCGAGATTTAAGCAAACCAAGGTACAGGAACATTTAGTTTAGAGCTAAATTGAAGTCATGGATATTTTTAGCCAAAATGGTTTTTTTCTGGCCAAAAAGAACATCTCTCACTGTTTTCCTTCAAATTTTTTCAAAGAAAACGGCTGTTTCCAACTCTCCTTGCTCTTTCCTAGCCTCCAACAGCTTTGATGCTCATAACCAGCTGTAAGAAAGGAATATATGAAATGCCTAAATTTTCCTGAGTTAATTTCTGTTCATCCTGCTGGAGGATCATTATGACCCCACTATGCTGACCCTAGTATATGTTAAGCCAATATTTTAATCAAACGTATACAGACACGATTGGGTTTTTATTAAGCAAGCATTTCTGGAGATTTCATTAAGCCAAGTTAATTCCTTGATCAATTTTTTAAACAATAAAGTAAAATTTTTCCAAATGTTTTCCATTTCATCTTATCTTGATATTATTTTCTTCTATTTTTCCTGGTTACGTTATACACAAAGATTTGATTCATCAACCTACTTTTTGTACATATCAAATTTTACTCTGCCACCGTGAGATTTCTTTGGTGGTCATTACTTCTCTAAGCCCAACTTTCCTAAGTCTTGCTGTGTCTACAATATTGGTTCTCCTTAGTTCTCAGGTCAAGAATGCAGTGGGCCCTCCATGCAGTTTTACCTGTTTGCTTTATCTTGTTACTTGTATCCAGAATGTTAGGAGTTAGAGAAAGGACTGATAGCTTGTATTTACTTCTTAGCTAAGTCACGACTGTCAGAAATGTAGCAAGACGGAGAAACATGAAAGGGTAGAGTAGTGAGCAGGGCTTGGGCAGAAAAAAAGGGAGGGCGGAGGGTGACGGCAGAAGATGAAGATCAGGTCCAAACATCCTGCTGGGTTCGATCAGTTCCTCTACGTTGGTGCTACCTCCGATTCGACAGCTGCCTCAAGGTGAAAGAGAATCTCTCCAATTTCATGCCTGATTTTCTTTATAACCGGCAGAGGTTATAAAGAGGGGGCTGATGAAGCACCCGTTTAAGGCTTTCTCCCAGAAGTCATCGAAGCAAACTGAAGAGCTTTGGAAAAAGTAGAGCTTTGGAGAGGAGGAGGCAGCTGTTTCAAAATTTTATCGAGGGCACTGATGTCTATTCCTGGAACCTTTTCCTAGGAGAGTAAGGCACTTGGGTTTCTTGGAATAACTGCATTATACAAGCATGCCCCAGACTACGTGGTTAGCAATTTCAGAAAATAAGCAGTTGTCAAAACACTATGAATTACTTATAGAGATGGAGAGCGGCGGCGGGCTCGGGGTACACAGACTTCAGCTGCCCGTGTGTATCTTTCGCGCTGCAACTCCGCGTCCTCGTGGTGGTCCCGCGCTCCGTGCACGCGGGCGTATCGAAAATACTTTACACATTTTTCAGAGGGGAGCCGCGGCAGCAGACAATAAGAGCCGAATCAATAGGTGCTCCCCACGGACTTACCGCAGCGAACGTCCAGGCCGCTGTCTCCCCGCCCGGCACTGCCCGCCCGGGCTGGGGTACCCTGCCCGGCCCTCCGCCCCGCCGCCGGGCCCGCCCGCCCGCCGCGTCCCCCGGCCGCGCCGCCCTGACAGCTCGGACCCACGTGAGCGGCCGCCGAGGCCCCCGCAGCTGGCGCCAGGCCCGCCCGCCTCACCTGCCGGGGCCGCGGGTCCGCGCCGCCGCCGCGCCCGAGAGCGAGGGCCGCGGGCCGAGGTGCCAGGAGCCCGCCGTCGCGCCTCGCCAGCGCTCCCCACGGCGGCCCGCGGCGGCGCCGAGCAGCAGGAAGCGGCTCCGCTCAAACCGGTTTCAGCTGCTCCAGACCAAACCGCCAGGCCAGCCCGCGGGGCGGGGCCGGAGGGCGGCGGGGCGGGGCCTGACGTCACGCCCGGCGCCGTCCCGGCCAATCGGCGGCCGCGCGCAGGGGGCGGCCCAGCGCGTCCTGGAGAGGGACCGCGTCGGAGGCAGGAGCGGCCGCGCATCTCCTGGGGTCCCGCGGTCCGGTCCGCGTTCCCCGCTGTCCCGCAGCCGCAGCGGGCGGCGGCGCCCGGGACACCTGGCATGGGGTCACAGACGCGTCCCTGAGTCCGTAATGACACCTTAGGACAACCAAGTGTGCAGGCTGGAACTGCAATTCTGAATCACGTTTTTTCCCATTCGAAAATGAGGGAAATTAGCAGGCCTAATGTTTGCTGGAAACTTTCTTTCGTTTAGAAAACAAGGAGCACGCTTGGACAAGCTCTTTAAAGTTGGAAACGAGGATTAAGTGATCTAAGATGGTTGAGAGGTTATAACTTTGCTACGCAAAGGTATACCGGCCAGCAGCATCACCTGGGAGCTGTCAGAGTGGCACTTTGATAGAGAGATTAGATTGGTGGTTACCAGAAGGGGAGCGGGAGAGGGAGGAAGGCGAGAGGGGTAACAGGGCACATGTGTAGGATGATGGATCATAAGTAGTCTTTGGGTGGTGAATATGATGTCTACACAGAAAGCGAAATACAATGCTGTAGGCCTGAAATTTATGTAATGTTATAAACCAATGTTACCTCAAAATTTTTAAAAAGCTACCTTCCTGGGGTAGAGGAAAAATTTTCAAATTGTAGATTTTTTTATTTTCTGTCTCAGCAATAAGAAAAAAATAATTTGTCAAGGTTACAAATAGGTTTAGATTTTCTTTTCATAGAAATGCATATTTTACTTCAAGTTTTCCCTTCATTTGAAAATCGTTCATTAAAATCTCTGTGGCTCGAGTTCCAAAAAGAAAAACACAAAAAATTGCACTTTGAGGACGATCCCAGACCTGCTTAGTCAAGTCTGCATTTAACAAGATGCTCAAGTTATTTGTATGCAAATTAAAGTTTGAAGGAACTTTTCTGAAAGCCAGAAAACCCCTCTTTGCAAAAGTTGTAATCTTGTTTTCTGAAAAATCGGCCCTCCCAGAAAAAAAGGTGGAGTTTTTTCTCTACTTTTATGGTCTTAGAAAAATTAATCAGCATTTGCCATTTACCTAACTTAAACTGTTACCTTTCCAGCATCAAGGCCAGAGGTTAACCTCTAATATAAAATTATCAGATTTCACTTAGATCAAGTGAGACATTGAAGATTTAAAAAGAACCACCTTTTTAGTAAATGTTGAAGGACTCTCGCAATAAGAGATAGCTGGAGTTGCAAGTTGGTTGGAATGGCCCTAAGGCATTTAAATTAGATAAGCTCTAGCTTTAGAAAGAGCTTCTAATTTTATAAATTGGATTTTTCACGACTGCATTTGATATTTGAGCTTAGATTAGACCCCAGGGTATTTCTGACAATGTCATCTATTCAGTTAATAAATAATTATTAAGTGCCTGCTATGTGCTGGCCAGAGGATGCAGTGGTTTTCTGATGGCACTCGTTTTAATCCCAAATTTCTTAAAGAATTAAAATTTCCTCCTAATTGTTGACCATTGTTTGCTAAAGTCTGCTATTGCACATTTCCTAACAGCTTGGTGTTTATTTCGCTTGTCTGCTGTTAGTCATACTTCAGTGATGGATTTCTTTTGTACCCATTTGCTTCCTTTAAATGTTTATAATAGATCTTTATTTTCCTGTAATCACCACTTAGTCAAGCTATTACTTGCTTAATGTTCATAGTTCAAGTTGATGGACCCAATCCATGCTCCTCCCCTAAATCCTGTTGAAATGGCAGAAGAATTATGTATATTCGAAAGATACCATCAGTGGGCTAGAAATTGAGGAATTTCTAGAAGATACGAAACAAGCCAGCAGCATTAGGTAATTGGAAAAATAACAAGAAGAGAGAAACCTGGACCCACACAGGGGAAGAAATGACTCCTGGAGATGCCATTTTACACAACCTTGCTTAGAAACTCTTTAATAATGCAACATTTTTAGATGACAATTTACACACCCCATTCTTTGGGATATGAAGTAGAATATAGACAATACATCCCTTCCTCCTGCCACATCTATGGAATGCTATAAGTTTTCAAAAACATGGTTAATAAGATTGCTTTAGGTCTTACCTCATTATTTCCGAAAGGTTCCATATGTATTGAATTTTACAAAATATTTAACTTGATTTGATTAAGTAATGAAATATGTTATCTCATTTGTCTGAAATCAGTGCTGCATGATCTCACTTTATACCTTAAGTTTTTTAATGGTGATGTCAACCCGAATAATCCATAATCACTTTATAAATCAAAATTGGGGTGAGTTTATTATGAGCCAGATCTGAGGACTGTAGCCTGGGGCCTTCTTTCTCCAAGGAAGGAAGGGCACAAAAGAAGTGGCGTGTACAGAGTGGCTGTATACCATCTTGGAACAAAGAGCAAACATATGATAGGAATGTGCCTTTTACAATAGTCACAGCAGATTTTGCTAGCACAGCAGATTAGTGCTCACAAGGTGAGCACAGCAGGCTGGTAATTAATTCTTAGTTTCTAGGAAGAGATGCTTATCCTTAAGGAAATGCTCCTATGGTGGAAGATACATCCCTATCTTTAAGAACATCATTCTTGTCTTCGGGACATTGTAAATGTTTAAAGCAGATATACAATGCATGCTCAGCAGGCCACATCAGGCCCTTTTGGAAAAACAGAGTCAGGACAAATTAGTTTTAAACCACGTGGCTTCCTCATATACTCCAATATATCCTATTGCTTTTCATTTATTTATCGGTGATAATGACATTGATGTAAAAAGCTTTAGACTTAGGAACCAGACCTAGACTTGAAATATACTCCTCACTGTCTGTGACATTTTGAGTACAAATCTTTGGTAAAATTCTTACTGCTCTTGTCGAATGTGGAGACTTTATTTCTGGAGAAAACTCTATTGAGCCCATTTAATTTCTTAATTTTTCTAGAAGGTACAGTTAAGCTGTTGCTAATTTGTCCCATTTTCATTTTACTGAAATTATTTTTATTGGATTCAAGTTTTTCATGTACATTTTACCATAAAAAATTGCTTTATGTTGATACCAATTTTTTTGTAACTCATCATAGCTTCGACCAATGAGAGTTTCCTTTCTGGCCATTATTTTACCTAGTCTAATTTTGCAGGTCTATATTTTGTCACAGAGTATTGATTCTTCCAACAGTATTTAGATAATAGCACATTTTATCTTGGCAGTTTTAAGTTTTATCAGCTTTGTTTTGTGTTGACTCTTCTCCCAGAAATATTCATCATGACATGGATAAAAGACTGATCTTTTGCATTAATCTCTTGGTCAATCCATGGAAATATTGAGAGTATTCTTCTAAGATGGTCCACAATTTTTCTACTGTCAGAATACTTTTATCAGACTCAAAACGCTATCAATTTTGTGTGTTTCATCCACCTCACTGGTGGCCCTGCTCCTCACAGGTGGTACCCATGCCTTCATTCCCTCTGCATGAGTCCATGAAGAATTTCTCATATTATAGTAATAACTACTTATTCTCCATATAGGTGACAAAATTGTTCCAGTTTAGTTTTTGCGATTGATTTTTCTTTCATTTAAAGATCAATTCTATATGGAGAAAACCAAGGAAATTGCTGACTTCCAAAGCTATTTAGCTGCCTCAAATATGAACCTTTAAACCAGCTTCAAATTGGCTGCAGGTGTACAGTTGGCCTTCCATAACCATGGTTCTGTGGTCAGTCGTGGATCGTTTACCATCCACAGTTGGTTGACTCTGCGGATGATGTGGAACCTGAGAATAGGGAGGGCCGACTGAGGGGCTTGAGCTTCCACGAATTTGGGTATCCTTGTGGTGACCTGGAACTAAGCTGCCACAAACACCAAGGAAGGATTGTCTTGCTTTCCAAGCTCTCAAATGCATCATAGGATCAGAATGTCTGGAGCAGGAAAGATTCGATTGGTAGGATCAGAATGTCTTCCTTGACCTGTTCCTACATCGTGAAGTAGGAATTTAAACATCACAAAGGTTATTTCAGATGAAGTTTGAGAAGGCACCCAGCACCTAGCACAGTACCTGCTGCTCCCTGATGCTTACCTCCCTCCCTCAGAGAAGGACACAGACCTTCTCGGAACCTCAGTTCTATGCAGGAACTACCCATTTCATCAAATCTAAGTTGATTGTAAAATAATGCTAAAAATAAAAAAATGCTGCCCTTTAAACTGTGCCATAATCCTTTCTTATAACTTACAATGTTTCATTTTGGGGCCAGCCAGTGGCACAGTGATTAAGTTCGCATGGTCTGCTTCGGCGGTCTGGGTTCGCCAGTTCAGATCCCTGGTGTGGACCTATGCACTGCTTGTCAGGCCACGCTGTGGCAGGCGTCCCACGTATAAAGTAGAGGAAAATGGGCACAGATGTTAGCTCAGGGCCAGTCTTCCTCATCAAAAAAAGAGGAGGATTGGCAGCAGATGTTAGCTCAGGGCTAATCTTCCTAAAAAAATAAAATA